ACACAGTGCTCGTAGTTAGCAAAAAATGTTGGTTACTGACACGAAGGATATATTTATTTTTCCATGACTTTTTTTGGGTATTTTTCACCTTCCACATCAGAAAAATATAAAAATTATAATGGAAAACTTTATACAAGTGTAAAAAGAGCAAGCTTTTTAGTTTACCCCGATAAGTTACTGCGTGAAATCAAAGTATTTTTCACAAATGTTCTATTTATCAGTAACTTGTCGCATTCAACAATTTTTCTTATCAAAAAAATTGCTAAGAAATAATACAATATTTATCTTTGCGTTTCGGAGGCCAAAATCTGCCTCCGTCTTCAAAAATGGACAAAAAAATTCAAAGATATTTGCAGTTATTCCTCTGCATATTTTTTATTTCTCAACTGTTTCGACAGATGTCAAAGGAGCTTTGAAATGTGAATTATGTCAGTCTGTTGCCATTTCGCTGCATTTCGCACATAATGGCACTTGTCGCGTTGTAGGAAGAGCATACAGGAAGACGCAGATAGATAAAATTCGTTCTAATTTTCCAGGATGCGAAACGACTGAGGGGGCTGAGAGGGAGGGAGGGGGGGGGCGAAGAGGGGACGGTAATGAAATGTCATGAAGATGTCGTATCCCGCCGTCGAGAGCGGAAGAGATTGTGTAGGTTTTGATCGCTCCAAACCTGTCACAGAAAAAAAAGTAATTTTTATTTATGAAAAACCTCATACTCGTGAAATTGTATTGTGAGGATGTATCTAATGTAACGTTAAGTAGAGCTGACTTCAGATGCTATCATATGTGAAGGTTGCTGAGATGAAGGTGTACAAGTCTCACAGCTGTCGGACTATTAGTTTGTGCGATAGAACATTTTGAGTGGAGCAACTTTTGCTAGTTTGTGAAAAACGAGGGCGAGTGTAGGCCCAGAGTGTAGGCCCAGAGTGAAGGTACATCCTCCCGAGGAGTTGTCCTCCTAGGTCATCGTCCATCCTGTCCCAAGACTCGCCGAACACACACTCTCTTATTGACGATAACTCCGGACACTCGCATAGGACATGCCTGACACTTTCATCTTCCTGTTCACACATCCTGCTTACAGGTGTGTCCACCAGCCCCATATTAAGAGGTGTTTCCTTAGTTGACAGTGGCCAGTCAGAATTCTACTGTTAGGCGTAGATTTTTCCTGATCATCGCCAGATATTTCTTCGGCGCCAGCTTCCAAGGGTCGCCCAGAGTTATCCTGGCAAGATTGAGTCTTTTGATTCCATCCCATCTCTCTAGGGATTGAGCATGGGTGTGACATTTGGCTAGTTCTGCAATTGTCGAAGTCATCAGTCCTAAAATTCTTAGTTCAGACGTTTCCTTGGCTAAAGGGTCGGCAATGCGATTACCTTTACTTCTGTCGTGCCCTTTAACCCACCTCAGGATAATGATATCTACCGAGGCTTTGGCTAAATATCGGTGGTAACACGTTGTCTGTTCAAGGCTAATAGGGTTTGTCTGCTATCAGTGCAGATTGTTATGTTTTTGCCATAAATGCCTTTCCTGGTTATTTCTTTTGTGGCGATTGAGATACCAGTCAGTTGTTTGAACCACGCTGGAATTTTTCCCATTCCCCACTTAATCCTTAGGCTTGCATTTGTAGCATCTGACTCTGTATTCTGTTTTATTTGTATTTTGTAGGGTTTATTAAACAACCATTATCGCAACCTCATTAACGTACAGGTCCAGAGGGGTCAGACCAGAAATTAATTCCTTTGCCGCGGTTGGTGTTGTTCTCATGGGTCTTGTGATGTTCCAACAAGCCAATCGCTCTATTTGATATAATTTTTGGAAGGCCGTTGCTTGTAGAACTTACGGTCCCCATGCAATGGCTCCTTACGTTAACATAGATCTTATTATTGCAGTGTAGATCCAGGTGACCACATGGGGTGAAAGACCCCATGCGCGTCCCACTGTCCTCCGATATTGTTCATAAGCCACATATGCTCTTTTTGCTCTACTCTGTAGGTAGCTTCCTGTCGAGGATAGTACCAAGGTATTTCACCTCTTCTGAAAAGTTTAGTTTGCTTTCAAAGATTTCGGGAGGTTTTGAGTCCGATAAAATTTTTTTCCTGGTGGAAAGGACCATCTCAGTCTTCTTGGGATTGATCGACAGTGAGTGTTCCTTACACCATGTTTCTATAAATTTGAGCCCATTCTGCGCACTATCGCACAATGTGTTCACATATTTGCCGGTCTGATAAATAACTTTTATCATTTGCATATGCAATTGTGTAGAATCCATTATTGTGGGAACTATCCAGAACATTACCAGTCCTCTCACTGTGATGTCTTTTATATTGATACGTATTGCTCTACTAGGAAGCAATGAATATCCATTCTTCTACTACCAGAGGTACATTCCTGGAGTGTATTTGCTGGGTAATTGTTGGAAAGGTTGTTTTATCAAACGCTCTCTCGAAATCTATGAATATACCTAGGGTGGATTATTTGTTGTCCAGTGATCCTTCGATTCTACCAACCACGTGGTGAAGGGCCGAATCAGTAGACCTTCCCGAAGTATATGCATGCTGATTTGGATGAAGTGAGTTGTAAACCAGCACTTCATCTTTTATATACCGCCCACATACCTTCTCCATAGTTTTAAAAAAGAACGATGTGACACTAATTGATCGGAATGCTTTTGGTAAGGTGTAGTCCATCCTACCTGGTGTGGGTATAAATACCACTCGTACTTCTCTAGAACTACAGAGGCTCTGAATATTCCAACCAGGTGCGGCATAAGAATATCCAATCGTCATTAATTTCGTGTGTTAATAAAGCCTTGCTTTTTGCCGAAAAAAAAAATACTGTTGAAGCCAAGGCTTGGCTTGATAAACATTACTCGGACTTTGCAAAAAAATCCAATTTGTTCAAACAGAAACTTCTCAACACGAAGTATGGTACTATTTCAATAGTTATCCTTTAACGAACGTATAGAAAGCTCCACTCGCGCTCTGTATATTTATATATGTGTCAAGAGTTTCGTCAATTTAGAGATAAGGTTTCTGCCAGAAAAAGTCTTTGTTGTTTCACATCTCGGAACATGTGTTCCATTTGAAAGAATTCGATATGATCTGTTAATGTACCATTTGGGCCAATATGCTCACTCCCACGAATATTTTGTTTACTTACTGAAGTAGATTGTCTATCAACGAGCAGGAGTGATTCATGCTCTCTACGAATGTTTCACGAAATTTTCGTAGCTCGCGAGGCAATACGGGGTGTTTTGCTCGGGAGAGTATTTCCTTCAATTCATAAAAACGACGAAAATGTTAGACATGTTCAACCGATTAAAATGAACATCACAAGTGCTGCGAAAATCAATTTTCTTTACGGAACCAAATAATTTTGAGATATTTTACATGAATCCTAAAATTTGGATTATTTATAGATAGATAGATAGAGTTTACTGTAAACTGTAATATCAGCATGATGCTCGGGATTCGAAAAAGTCGACGAAGGCCTTTTTTGCATCGTCCTGATTGGCGGAAGTTCTACCGATGAAAAAGTTACCTAAGTGTTTGAAAAAATGGTAGTTGGTTGGCGAGAGGTATGGAGATATTGTGTTTTATGTAAATGTACATAGTCTATTATGTAATTTTCATACATCATGTAAATTTACACAAGATACCAGGACGGGTCGGAAATTGGGATTTGTATGTAATTTGTCGTATATTCTTTGAATTTTGGCGGTACCAGGTGATTTCCGTACGATCTGTCATCGTCGTTTGCTCTGATCCATTCCAATGTATCTTCAATTGGACTATTCGCCTCGATTCAATATATTTTTACTAAGGAGGTTTTTATGAGCTGTTCGTCTACTAGTTAACATGATCTTGTAGAAATTCATTTGTAACAGTGCTGTGTGATTTTTTTTGAGTGACGATGAACGATGGCTACAAATTGTGAGTGAGGCAGAACTTCGTCGCTCAATTCGGTCAGTTTTCCAACCGTGACTCGTGACTTCTCGAGCTTCTTGTATAAAATAATAGCAATTTCATTAAAATCGAAAAGAATACGCAACGTACAGTTAATGCATCTAGGACTCAAATAAGTAGGGTGACTCGGGTACCGGCTCTGCGGTCTCACGTTGAGGCACTCAGTTCGTATATTCGATAATTGTGTCGTCCTTTGGACTCGTGATTCCATTCTACTGGTTTCCCTCATGGTGTTGCTAAATAACAAAGTTTCCGTTAAACTTTGAGGTAATGTGGTATTTCTTTTAAACCTCGCCTGAAAATTTGGAAATAGAAATTCCTTCACCTGTATGTATGTATGTATGATTGTATGTATGTTTGTTTGTAACTCTCAAGTTCGGGATCTGAATTTGACAGAATTAGCGACATTATTGCTTGATCTATTCGCGGGCAGATAACGCTGTACAACACCTCCTTGATATAATTCGAACTCACTTTACATGTATTTCTTCATTTGGTCTGTCATCTGATTTGGTGAGTTATAAGCCAGCTTTGTTCTGGCATATGGTACAAACAAATTATTATTTTGACGAGTATTCGCATTGCGGATACATCTATTCATCAGAAAGATTTCATTGTCATTTTTAAAAACATGTAAACACAGTTCAAATATAAACAAACAAGGCAATGTTAGAATATTAAAATTAACGAACACATTTTTGCAGGAATCCCTATTAGAATTTGATGATCTACACAGTCGAATGCTCTGCTGAGATCACAAAATATTCCAACAGGGCACTCTCCTGCATCGAGGCATTTAATTATTTCGTTATAGGATGAATGTTATGTTTGATTTCTTATTTATACCATGTTGATTTCTGGCAAAGACATTATTATTATCACAGAACAGTTTCATTCGATCATTCGAACATTCTATGTTCAGCATTCATTCCTAAAATATAAAAATGCAAGAATACAGATTTTATTAAACTTCTATTTCGCCCCACGTTGTATATTACATCCAAGATGTTCACGATGTTCCAACATCCAAGAAAACCAATCTCGATATCTTCTTTCTTCCAAACTCGTAAGAAAGATCAACGTCTGGCAACAGCGTCGTAGAGGGCACTAAACTTGATGATTGCCGGTTTCTTGATCGCCTTTACCTCCGTAAAGCTAACGAAGAACCAAGAAATTTCAGCTTAACCTCTACCTGGTTCATGTGCCGACAGACAGCATCCATTTCTCTAGTTCCTTTTGCGAAATCCGTTCGCATACAACTAATATCGTTCTCGTTTTAATTGGATAAATCAGTGCAAATTGGAGAGAGTCTCTCTCTTCTCTGTGAATTGTTCAGCAACATGTAAAATTAGCGAAAACAAGTGTTCTGATTGGTGTGCAGTGCCGTATAAGGTGCAGGATATCGAGTTATTCGAAGCTTGGAATTGGCAGCGGCGTCGCAAGAAGGCATTTTACCCCAGATTTAAAGGTAAGCAAAGTGAAGAATCTCAGTTGATGATAATGTTCTAGACATAACTTCCAAATCCATAAATAATCTGAGCCGGTAAATATTCGTTTTGAGGTCACCCGGCGAAAAATTTTTTTGAGTTTACTTACGTTTTTTGATGCGTATATTACGAATCCGAAAGAAAAAAGCGGGCGCTCTCCCTTATTTACAAAGTTACGGCCCTTCAAAGTTCAACTTTTCAACCTTCTTTTACACAAGATAAACTATTTAAAATGACAAGCATTTATTCACTAGATCACTTTTACACTTTATTCCCACTTAATTGACACTTTTCAATTCAAAAATCAACATTTCTCCAATAAAAATGTTAAAATATAGGAATATTGACAGCATCAGTCGTACCAACTATGCCATTAACCTTAAAAACGTAAAGTACAGAGATATATAACCAAAAAGCAGCTCCGTACATTTTTTAACATTTTCATTGGAAAAATGTTGATTGTTGAAGTGAAAAGTGTCAAGAAAAAAGGAATAAGGTGTGAATAAATGCTTGTATTTTCAAATAGTTTATCTTGTGAAGAAGAAGGCTGAAAAGTTGCCCTTTTCTGAACTTTAAAGTGCCCTAACTTTGCAAATAAGAGTAAGCGCCGCTTTTTTCTTTCGGATTCGTAATCTACGCATCAAAATACGTAAGTACACTCAAACATTATTTCAAAATCGCCGGGTGCCCTCAAAATGAATATTTACCCAACAATGAACAATCAATCAAATGCTTGAATGAAAAAAATGTATTGAGGAAGTCGAAATTTGGTTTTAGGCAGAACTCTTAGCACTACCGTTACTACATTTTACCTATTATTTCAATTCATTATGATATTGGAATCAGAACAGTACCCTATGTCAATATTTTGTGTCCTATCGACTCGTGCTTCTTGTATTTTACGTAGTTAGAAGGGTAGCTATAGAGTCAATCAAATCATATTTAAAAAGTATAAAAATCCGCACCAGAATAAAAATCATTTCACGTATAACAATTTAACTAATTACACGCCAAATGACTCCAAGCATATGTACCAGAGTTCCACAAGGTTCTATTTCGGGGCCAACTCTTTTCCTCATCTACGTTACTGATATCGTCCGTGACTTCCCTTCAGTTACCTCATCGCTACTTGCGAATTATACAACTATAATAATACACGAAAAAATACTGAAAACCTTGTTGACTTTGCGAAACATTTTACACACCGTAACATAAGTGTACAATTATGCGTCCAAGATGTTTGCCGTGGACTCGAGAGTAAGAAGGACACCATTCCACTAAGGATTTCAACTCGAAGAATCTTTTTATTTTGTAACCGAACTCTATTTAAACCTTCGAAAAACAACCAATGGCTCATCAGTCGCAACTTGACAAAAACTCGAGGGGCACCGTTGTTTTGGATGAAATGTATGTTGTTCGTCGCCAATAAACAAGGATAGCCTGTTTTATAACCGTAAAGTAACCTAATACAGGTACAGTGAAAGTAAATAAATTATTTCTATAGAAATTCTACAATGTTCAAGTCAGTTCATAACTATTCTAACACCTGGACTAAAAAGTCCCGGGCCTAAGGAAGAAAACGCGTTTTTTTGTTCAAAATTGGCTTCATTCATCAAAGTAATGTCCATCAGGAACCAGTAAACCCTGGGAGCCAAATCTGGTGAATACAGTGGATGTGGGAGAAGTTTTTCAATTGTTTTGATTGACTTGTGACCCGGTGCGTTGATGAAAGGTTTTTTTTTTCAAATGCGGTCGTTTCTTTGCAATTTCGGCCTTCAAACGCCGAAATTGCAGCTTCCTTTTGAAGCTGCACACTGAAGAAGTGGTGAATGCAATAAGACTGGTGTCATCTATGTGTTGGGCCCAAGATTTTTCAGCCCGTTAGGTTACTCTTCTACTTATGGAACTAGCTATAAGAATAATCTCAACCCAACAAAGTATGCATGTTTATTGATAAGTTCTACATCTTTGAACAGTTTTCATTCAAGGTCAAATCAAAATTAATCATTTTATTTTATTCCAGGATGGGGTCTAGAATAGGAGGTCTAGGTCCAGCCGGACTACCCGCCGACAAAGCCCTGGCGGGGGTCCCCCGACTTCTCGACGATCTTCAGAGACTATCAGAAGATACCGATTCGACAGACATCGTCTTCATACTTGGAAGGGACGAGGAGAGAGTTTTCGCGCACAGAGTTATTTTGATGGCTAGGTAGGAATAAGTAGTAAACTAATGTTTACGATTAAGAGCAGCTAAGACGCTGCTGGATTGAAAAAAGGTATGAGGTTGGCTTAGTTCGTCTAATTTTTCCAAACATGTTCAAAAACTCAAATAGAAAAAACAGAATCGTCAACGAGAACTGAGAGAATTATAGGTTATTTCAAAAGTTTTGTCCATTTTTATGAGTCTACTTTAAACTGTCGTGGAGCACGATCGGGCCTCTTCTGTTGACCAGCGCCGGCTGCTGCTGACGCAATTTTCGGTACATTTCGTCGATTTCCTCACAATATGACTTTGTTGTGATGGTTTGGTCCGGTTACAGAAAGTTGTAGTGAATCACACCAGCAACGGACCACCACACAGTAACCATGGTCTTTTTTGGTGGGTTTCCTCCTTTGGAAAGTGCCTGGGTGGTTCAACGGTGTCCAACCACTGTCCAGAAAATCTCTTGTTATCGTATAGGGTCCACTTTTCATCACACGGAAAAGCATACAACAAATAAACGTGTTCTACGTATATGAGTGAGATGGGTTATTCTGTTAACGTCATATAAAGTTTTCCTCGATAAACCAATACACGGAGTTGGTCAAAGGAGCAATTTCAAGGAACCGCCAATTCATGGACTTAGGTTTTCGCGTAAATCGTAATTTATGGCTCAGTGCACAGAAAAAATAACAGTTCAACTTTACCTTTCTTCAACTCACTACAAAAAGAATCGTAAAATGCTGACGGCCAGGTTGCGGTTTTGGCTAGTGGACACATCTCTATGCAAGATGTGTGAACAGGAATACGAAACTGTCAGGCATGTCCTAAGCGAATGTCCAGAGTTATCGTCAATAAGAGAGTGTGTGTTCGGCGAGTCTTGGCCTACACCTGCCGATATAAAGGAGATGTATCCCAGTGACCTGTCCACCTTCCTGGAAAGGACAGGATGGACGATGACCTAGGAGGACAACTCCTCGGGAGGATGTACAATGGCTTAAATGTGGCCTAAACTCACCCTCCCTACTCTACAGATACAGAACCACCACTGAACAAACAGGGTGTTGTTTCAGGAAGAAAAGGATCATGTTTCTGTTCCGCATTTCCGCAAAATGACGTTTCATCACGTGGCAATAACCCGCGATCAGCTAATCTACTCGATCGATTCACAAATCTCACTCGTTCGCCTCGTTTGCATCATTTAAGGTTAGTGATTTCACTTCTAGTGCCTATACATTTCCAAAAAATTGTCGTTTTTTGAACGTAAACCATGCCAATATGTTATTGGAGATTATTCGGATGGTCGAGACTCAACACAGCTAGCATACCTTCCAGTTTTGCCAATTTTTAATGTTTTTAGCGTCGCACAAAAAATTGCTTCAAGATTTTCGATTCGTCACAAACTCCTGATGACGTCTGTAAAATTGTTATGCGAAATACTAATAACCTCTATATTCCAAGTCTTTTGAAAGTCTCAAAAAAGTGTTTCTTGCCCCGATATCCCCAATACCTGCATGAGATTCCAAAAACTCGCCCTTTTTCGCTCCACTGGGTTAGATCGAAAACAAATAAAAAAACCACCCCGTCTTCGATTAGTACATCAAAGTCGGCGGAGATAAAGCTCTGCGTCCTTGTTGGTGGCGTTCAAACCGTATTGCTCCTGCAGTGTTCCCAGTAACTACGCTAATAATAAGACCCTTCCATCCTCGATGACTCTCGTTTTTGATGACTAATTGGATGTCTTATACTAGGAGTGAGCTTTGATCTTTGTTTCATGTGCATCATACATGTCGTTTGCGACGCGAGAGAGCTACTTTGTATGAAATATGCACGCGAAAGAGCGAATTGCTCAGACGAAAGAGCTCCTGATGAAGTCGCACTGCGTAATTCTCTAGTGTATTGTTTAGTTTTTGCCCTACATGTACCACATACTGCAATGCATACATCGGTTTGTTGAGTACCCTAAAAATTCCCTGAGTAAAAATAGGTTAAGTCACGTTGATAATAAAAGAAGAAGTAGAAGAATTAATGGCTGTGATGCTGATTCGATTAATTGCTGTATTTGCGAGGATTTTGAGAGTAATTTAGTTCTGTCATCGAAAAAGGAGCAATTTTGTCGATATAATAGATATATGTTTGACAGAGCGTTAACCAAAGAATTTCGTGTTCTGTGTGGGTATGAGACATTCAGTTTGTTCTGAGTTTCTTTGACTTATTGTCTATGAGTGCATGGTGAGATGATTCATATCCAGAACTCCAAAACGTCAGATGAGGTGCTTGCTGTCCTTTGGTGCTTTGAGGTTTTCGTTCAGATACGCTTCAAATATCTATCTATCATTGGTACCTCTTTCCATCTAAGATTTTAAGGAAGTAGCTCCTGAGAGCAGAGCGTGAAAGGGAGTGACACACTGTTTGCTAAAAAGCTGTTCACTTCAATACTTTAATGTGATTCGGAGATTTTTTTCTCGAATCTTCAGAGTTTCAGTAGTTCGAGGTGGGAAATTTTTCAAGTGAACACTCCGCTTAGATCATATACGTTGTTAATTTCATTTGATTCGCATTGCATGTATCTTTATCAGTCATACCAAAACGAAGTACCCGATTAATGTTTTCATTAGTTTCGAGAAGAAAAATCTTCTAAATAATAATAAAGGTCTTTACTTCCCATAATAATAAACTTGAATAGAATATAAAAAATTCAACATGGTAGGTTTATGATGCACTGTTTGGAACCTTTGGTGTAGGAAGTTTAATCTTCCTCTTTGAAGATGATATGATCACTTGGTGATCGAAACACGTGTCGTGGTGTTAAAAATAACGACCTGGTGTTGGGAAAAAACTCCAGTAATATTCATGGTGGTTTTGTTATCAGTGATATCAAAAATCAAGCCGTAAACCATCATATCTTTTTAAATATTTGGAAGGCTTCAACATCCTAAGCGATCATCAATGTGGATTTCGGGAACAAAGATCAACAGGCGACCTTATATTGTATGTCACCCATATTTGAAATAACACAGTCGAGATACATGGAGAGGCAAGAACAGTTGTGCTTGTTTTTTCTAAGTCCTTTGACTGTGTGTGGCATAAGGGTTTGCTGGCCAAACTTCGATGCTATAGCTTGTGGGATCACCTTTGTGTTCCCTGAACTGGCAGGCGATGGATATCTCTCGAATTCTTTTACCATCAAAGGTGGTGATTCCCAGGGATCCATATTGTCCCTAACCCTTTTTTTATTGTATATCAATGACTGTTTGGAAAAAAACAAGAATCCAAATATATGCCTTTGCTGACGACAGCACATTTGTCTCCTCGTTCCATTTGGATTCCATACAAGTTGGCAACACTGAAACCTAGATATCGCCAATCCGTGGTTCTCCCAAATAGATTGTACTTTTCTTGTCATTTGTCATATATGTCATACCTATTGATATCAGATCATAGATTTGTTCAAAGACTTCTGTCTATAAAGTCAGGGATGAAATACATTTACATTGATACTATTTCAGGTCTTCCTTAAAACGACCAAACATTAGAAATGAAACGAAAAATCTATTTATCATCACTTTTTTGTGAATAAGTCTATATTTCCTAATGTTTTTTGGCATTATATCCTTCGACAATCTGGAAAAAAAACAAAGAAACTGAATCAACCGACATGTTGTTGTAGTAACTTTCTGAATTGCTTTACAGATGCAAAAGTTTCCAGACAGCGAAAAGAGGAGAAATCTGCAGAATTCCAGGATGCTCTGTTTCTCCAGCAGCGCCTGGAACTCCATCTCCCGTCAGGCTTCCTCAGACAGCCCCAGAAACATTCAAACAATTTTTGTTGTATGTTTACACAGGAAAGGTAAAATCAATTGAATCGCATTCTTCATCCCCTTTACCCATCATCAAAAATAAAGTCACGATACAGTGAAAAATCAGGTCATTTGGCAACATTACCAGTTCAGACTCGTAGATTCGTTTCAATACTAGTTTCGCCATCTGTCAGTCAGAGGTGAAACTAATCAATTGGCCAGTATAGTTAGAGCATTGCAAAAAAAGTGACGTGCATCGTACTACTTCTGAATCACAAAACTCAAAGTTTTAGTTCTATGTTTTGAAAGCAGAAATCTTGCGATCTGTGATCATTACTATATTTTCACAGATTCTACTTCAGGACAACAGCGTGTTCGAGATGATGGCTCTCGCTCAGGAACTTGGAGTTGACGAACTCCGCAATGCGTGCGAAGACCACGTCACCTCCACATTATCAGTCCCGTCGGCGTGTACGTTTTTATCTGCTGCAATGGATATACAAGACAAATCTCCAGGTAAGGCAGTTTTGTCGCGATTTAGTCTGCTAAGTGTTGATCCCTTGACTTTCTGATGAATCTATTGAACCGTATTTTCACTGAAGACATACAAAAGACATACAAAATCAAGAAAATTGTAAGTATAGGAGTTACAACACTCTCTAGATAATATAACCTTGAATTTAACAAGGAACGTAAAGAGCAGCTACTTTCAAAAACTGTGGTTTTGTGTATAAATATAACAAGCGTAATATTTTTTCCGTAAGTAACACAATTGTGATATCAATCATTACCATAAATTCACACTCATAACCATAAATTATCCGATTCACAGTTTTAACATTGAAATATGAAGGATTAGATCGAAGAATTAAGACATTTGAGAATCGTCTGCAGATAGTAAACTACTCGCATGTATACTTCACACATTAGACATCAGCACTTCACGGTGACAATACAGATTGCATATCAATTAATCGCACTACTGGTCGACTGCGCCGTAAGGGAAGCAAAGAACATAAAAAAGAGAAGAAGAACTGATCGCACAGAGTGCTTCGATTTTTAAATTATTTCATTACAACTTGTACATTACTTCCAACAAAATTGTGAAAATTGCTTTCGCTTACAATTGAAAATATTACTTTTACTTCATCAAAATATGTAACTGGAAATACAGAATTTCCAGACCCCCCGAAAAATCAGCAGTTGGCAATATCTGGTAAATAAATGTGTCAAGTATTTTAATCTTCATATGATGGATGTTCTCTTACAGAAGTTTCAACTGTATGTATGGAAAACTTCAATAAGTCTATCTAACTATATAAAAAACGTACATGCGAGGAGTTGTAATTGTGAATTCACATTCAAAACTATAAATTCAGAGTAATAACTGAATTTTTTGTTTACTGCGCCTAGCTAAGTGAGAATATACCAGAAAAAGAACTGAATTCAATAAATATATATTATAGAAAAATAATAGTATCGATTTTTACACTCCCTCAGCGAATATCGAATGACAGTTTTTAAGTTTGACGTAGCCGTCACTTTTTAATATAGTTCCAATATCTCACACAGAGGTCACACACAGTTTTGTATCCTAACATTGGCTGAACATCCTCAAAAACCGCGGCCACAGAAAAACACGCTTTCATGTCAAAAGTCATCGGTCAAACAAATCACAAATCGGCATCAGAAAGAAAACATTCTTCAACGGTTTCATCAAATTTCGACTTGAATTTCGCCACTGAAACACTACGAAAATGGCCTACAAACCGCAAAAAGTACAAAAGGTGATGGTGCAACCCATCAACCTCATCTTCAGGTACCTGCAGAACCGATCGAGGGTACAAGTTTGGCTCTACGAAAATATCCACCTGCGTATCGAGGGGCACATCGTCGGTTTCGACGAGTACATGAACCTGGTGTTGGACGACGCCGAAGAATACTACATGAAGACGAAGGTGAGGAAGCCCTTGGGGAGGATAATGTTGAAAGGAGACAATATCACATTGATACAGAACGTGAAACCGGATGGAAATTAGCAAAGCAACAAAATTTGTTCGAAAGACTTTTAGTTTTAAGTTCAACAATCAAGAGGTGAATGAAGCGTGTATATACACTGAATAAAAGTAACAGTTTCTACAAATTTGTATGATTTAACGAGAATAATGTGAAAGATCGACTTCTGTTTATACAGTTTCCTTCCAATAAATAGTTAAGATATTTTTATGCTAGTTTTTCTCAACATTGGGTGCTTTATTGCAGTAATGTTAGGGATTATTTCTGTTGGTGCACCAAAAAGACAAATATTGAAGGCAAGAGAGCTTTTACAAACTTTCACAGGAATTACACACTAAACATGTTGAACTAATCAAAATGAACGTATATCTGTGTTTATGACAAGTGCAGTCAACATTAACATATTTGACAGGTAAATATAATTGTTGAAGCTTGAGAAATTTCAAATCCTAAAACTACGTCTTTTGGATTTACATATTATTGTTCTCTTCGTCTAAAAATGATCTCGGCACATGCCCTCGTACAGTAAGTTTAGTGGATCAAAATGCATGCAATCCCATTATTTCCGAAATTTTGCTTACAAAAAGACATGTATAATAATTCAAGATATTTACAAACGTTTCAATGGATCAAACTTGATATCCTTGGGATATGCCACTTGCGAATACCCAGCTGGTATGTATCTGTCAACCATTTCATCAAATATTCCAGATATATTTAGATATTCGTACAAAAAGCAGCTTTTATTAAGTGTTATATTTCAAAGCCGAGGTATAACTTTGATAGACCATACAAGGGCTCTACCGAAGCCTCCAGTAATTCACACATGTCTATTATACAAAAAACAAAGTGGGAATCTACCAAACGAACAAAGAAAGCAATACACTTCGAAACAAAGATGTGTATAAGATGAAAGTAGTTATTTCATATAAGCCATTTCTTTCAATAATCTGGAAAACATTACTCGATGGAAAGTATATTCTTTTCGTTCAATATATTTCTCACCCAAAAGTGTTCCTTATACAATAATTATATCGAAGCTTCAGATGCTTGAAATGAAATGTGTTTTTGAAAAAGTATGAGACACTCTTGTATGATATTCCATTAAAAGTTGAGAGTTTACTGTTTCTAAATTTCTCCATGTATGATTCATTAAATTTGCATTTCCAAAAAATAATCATTGTTTTCTTTTCTACTGCAATCGGTTTTGTTTCTGAAAAAGTATGAGACACTCTTGTATGATATTCCATTAAAAGTTGAGAGTTTACTGTTTCTAAATTTCTGCAGTTTCCATTAAAAATATCATATAATTTTATGGTTGAATGATAAACAGCCTTGTTGGTACCATAATGTAATTAGCGATATATCAAACATGACATATCTGCATGTCTTCTTACTACAACATTTGATATAGAAAGTCTTGAGTAACGCAGAAAACTTGCTGGAGCAGTTTTTCCATATAAATTACTGGACAATAATGTTAATATTTTATTTTTGATGAATTTCTGTGTACCACATTTCAGAACTAGAAGTATAGAAATTTTTTATTTTTGAACAACCAATTTGTACATCAAGTCCTCCATCTTCAGCATTCGCAATAATTTCAAATATATGTGCTATCAATTTTGCATCTCAGTTTTTCACGGAGAATTTTCAATTTTGTATGTAATTTTTGTTATGTGGATAAATATATGTATGTATATTTTTTTCTTCACCCCTCTTTTTATATTTCTTTTGCTCTCCATTTCTCAAATTGTAACTTTATAGTTTTAAGCTCGTATATTATTTTTCAACATACCCAGTTAGTTAACATTGTAAATGGTTTTCAACTGTTGGGTAATTGTTAATTACCCTACAGTTGTTGATTTTTGTTGCAGCACGATAAATTAGTCTGCCCTTTTCTCCTTATATAGATGTTCTAATTTCAACTTTTCGATGAAATAAAATATTTATATAATTTCCTGTATAGTTTCCTCTGATATTCTTCCTTTCTTTGGAACGTTATATATGTTAATAGGAATGCAAAAAAAAACAAAATGATACACAGGTTAATTTTTATTTTTTATACCTAAGACTCATCTGATAATTCTCTACAATAATTTGATTGTTAATATTGAAAAACCTTTTTGAAATTTAACAAATTAAAGAATGAATTAACTGTCTTAAACAAATCTATTTCTAATAATTTTTCACTATCACAAACTAATTTATATTCAACACTTAGCAACTAACGCTCAATTTATCTCCACTATTTGAATTCCTTGTTTAACCGCACGAGAAGCCGGCCTTTTATATCGGTAAAGGTCCATCGTAGAATTCTGCAGTCTGTTTGGTACTCGTCTAGAATTTTCGCGGCGGTTTCAGACTGCATTCTTTCGCGGTGACGCCATGTGTTTGTTCGCTGTCCAGTATATCGGTCAGGGGCGGCTACAATATTGATTAGCATAGTTTTCAATTGTGTGTTTTCATTTATTCATCGACAGATACCGTCCAGTTCAAACAATACAATAAATTTTTGATCTTTGTCTTTAATAACTGAGGTTCCTCACTAGGTTATTTTCAACTTTGATGTTTTTGTTTCAAGGAGGTAAAGCAGCTTCAGGATTTGTCGAAAGATGCATCAGTTATATCGGCGAAAATGCAGTAGAATGTGTTCGAACCAACTCATTCCTGAGCCTTCCTAAAGAAGCAGTCATTAAAATCATCTCATCAGATTACGTAAGTGATTAAAAATCCTGTGGTCTACCTAATTTGTATTTATTTCCAAAGTAACTATTCGTTACTGGCGTAAAGACGAATTTTCAGAAATCACCTGTACGAATCGATCCATGAATTATCATTTCCAGTTATGCCTGGAAGAAGAAGACGTATGGAGGGCAGTTTTGAATTGGTCCAAATACCAAGCGGGAGTAACACAACCCACTCCGCACTGGACAGAAGAAGAGAGAGCTCGTGTCTGTCAGCATTTGTCGCTTGTGATCAATCACGTTCGATTACTATTAATAGGTAAACTATCTCTTAGTTCACAAAGGTTTGTTTATTCAATTGTTAGACATTTCCAAAACATTCCACAACCATTAATTCACTCATAGCAACATACAGTGTATGGTCACATCCTGTTCATACCAACATTCACTATCAGGTCACATCCTAATTATACCAACATTCAGTATTATTACAACTTACAAGTTGGCGTCTTCAGGAAAGAAAGCAATAGAATACTAATTAGTAAATGAAAAAAAAATTGAAGAAAGCTAATTGGTTTCATTGAGGTTTCTAATAACGTCTAACTAATCAGTAATTAGGCGAGTAAAACTGAAGAAAACTATTTTCTTATTACTACTAACTAATCAGTAATTAGATGATTGGCTAGAAGTCATTTGAAAACTATGGAAAGTAATTAGATGAAAAAGTTGAAGAAAGCTCATCAATTTTCTTCAGATTTCTAATAACTTCTGATTAATTAGTACCAGTAATTAGAAAAAGAAAGCCAATTTCTAATTTTTCTGATTTTTAATAAGTTAATTAATAAAGAATATTGAAGAAAACTGGTTAGAAGTAATTGGAAAACTAAGAACAGTAATTAATTGAAGAAAACTAAAGAAAGATGACCAATTTCTCTAGTCTTTCTAATAACTTCTAGCTAATTGGTATACGTAATTAGACGAAGAAAACTAAAGGTAACAAATTTCTTTTTTGTTTTACTGATCAGTAATTAAATAGAGAAAATTGATTAGTTAGCAGTAATTGAAAAACTGAGGAAATTAATTAGATGAAGAAAACTTATTGATTATAAGTCATTTGAAAACAGAGGAAAGTAATAAGATGAAAAAAAACTAAAGAAAGCTAATTAGTTTCATTAATATTTCTAATAACTCCTGACTAATGAGTGATCAGTAATTGGAAGAAGGGAACTAAAAAACACTTAATTCTATTTTGTAACTATAGGATCAACAATTGGATTAAGAAAACTGTAATTGGAAAATTAAGGAAAGTAATGAGATGAAGAAAACTATAGAAAGATAACCAATTTTCCTCGTATTTATAATACCTTCTGACTAATTGGTATTAGTAATCAGACGAAGAAAACTAAAGATAACTAATTTCTTTTTTTTTACTGATCAGTAATCATTAATCAGTAATTACATGAAGAAAACTAAATATAACTGTTAACTTAGAAGTCATTGGAAAGCTAAGGAAACTGATTAGTAATTGGATGAAGAATACTCAGAAAATCAGTTAGTTTTTTCAGATTTCTGGTAACTTTTAACTAACGAGTAATCAGACGAAGAAAACTAATTTCTAATTACTTCTAAATAATCAGTTATTACATGAGGAAAACTAGAGACAACCGATTAGTTAGAATTAATTGGAAAACTGTGAAAATGACGAAATCTAAAGAAAGCTGATCAGTTTCCTTTAGTTCTCTCAAGTACTCGTTTTGGATTTATTCTACACCAAAGGCTGCAGTTTTATCTTTCATTAGTTTTGCTTCAATTTTCCACACTTTTCGCAACCACCATCTTCTTTAAGAATAACGTAATGATTTTCAAGTTTGCAAGAAAATTTGAGCATTTGCCTTCCTTCAGAATACCACATAGTAACCTACCGAGTCAGCAAAACCTATACACTGTAGGATCAGTTATTTCACTCAAAAGCCTTTTGGTGCAAGCTCATTTAAAAATAGTGTCACCCCTTCATTATCGGTATGCTCTTCCATCCTCTTTGACATGAATTGAAGCAACACTTACACCTTCAACTTCATAGAGCTAAATTCCTTTCAGACAGCCGAGTGTTCGCGGAAGAAGTAGAACCAACAGGAGCAGTCCCGATGGAACTGAGTCTAGAACGCTACCGTCACGCAGCCCTACCAAGCAAATACTCGGACACCGCTGAAGATCAGCGACTGAAACCTAGAATCTCCCCGCATATGTTCCCCGGATCGCTGATCCTCGGCCAGGACAAGAGCCACTACCAGAGGATACTGAACGCCTGGTACGGACACTCCAAGCAAACGTGGAGGCTCGTCTACAGGGCGAGTAGCCACGGGTATTCAGCAGCGTCCTTTCACAGGCACTGCGATGGAGTGTCGCCCACTTACGTCATAGTTCTGGTGAGGAGATTTTGTGGTTTGGGAGTTTTTTTGTGGCGCTTCGAATGAATTTTTTCATGTTGGTATAGTTCAAGTAAACAATATAGTGCAACCTACCTTACAACAGATCACCTTTAATAATATAGTTAGGGGGCTAACTAATTTTGTTATTCAATAATCATTTTTGATTATATAAGAATTACAATAACTAATTTATATATACAAATAGATATTTTATCGAGTGTAGCCAATAGCCAGAAACACGTATCCACGGTTTGCCCCCTTTTTGGAGTGTTGTGTCCAAGAACTGTTTTATTTATATTCCCATAAAATCGAAAATTCCTATCCCAGAAAACTTCTCGATAAAGTAATTTTCAATACTGGCAGTAAATACAAATTACGATGTAGTCAACAGAAATTTATGTAATAATAGTTCACCTATCAATGTTTCTTATAAATCTATACCTAATCTTGGAAATTCACCTTCAAATATCATAAAACTTCTTCATGATGAACAAAGTATGAAAATATGCCAAAAAATTATTAAAACTATCAAGAATTTAAATACCAAATTGAAAGATCAAACAGATACTACAAAAAAAAGTCAAATGTGATTTATAACATTCCTTGTAACAATTGTAATTTGGATTATATTGGAACAACATCTAAAATTCTTAAAGATAGAATAACTTCACATAAAAGTGATATACAGCTTAATAAGAACAAACAGGACATAAACCAAATTACCCCAATATCAAAGTTTTACATACAGAAATAAAGATTTCCAAACGCCTTTTCCTTGAAATGGTTGAAATCAATAAGTCTTCTGATTGTATGAATAAGAGAACTGACACTGATAATCTCAGCAGTATATACAGTAACTTATTGAAACTACACCAAAAAACATAATGATAATAATGAAAATTGTATCAATCAATAACTCTTTCTTTATAGTCAAAGATTATCAAATCATTATACCCATCGAAAAATGACATTTATGTGAAGGTATGACATTTGTCAAACCAAAAAAATCCATTAATATTTAACTTTCTTTTGTCGATTTATATGTTCCATTCATTGTTTTTTACTCATTTTTACTGTAAGTATGAATTGTAATGTTATTTATTGGCAAAAAAAGAAGAAGCTTCCCTTTAAGAGCAAAAGCTTGGCAAAGTAAAGCAGAGTTTTGATTTTTTGACTGAGAGACACCATTAATTTATTTTACTGTGTATATATAGTGTTAAAATAGATTAACAGGGTCTCTCAGTCAAAAAATCAAACTCTGCTTTACTTTGCCAAGCTTTCGCTTCAAATGTGAAGCTTCTTCAGGCCTATAATTTGATGAATTGTGAATATTTTCGCCGTTGAATAACATTACAAATCAATGCTTACTGTAAAAATGAGCGAAAAACAATAAATTGAACATTAAATTGACGAGAACCCATCCTCTACTTCCTTCGCAATGCACAATGATTAATCGCGATCCTTTGTTTGCAGGCATGTTAGGCGTACACTTTCTCGAACCATCAGTCCACCTTTTCATAACTGTGTCCTGAGTGTCATACTATTCTTCTGCTTTCCATTTTTACTATTTTAAATTTAAATCCTAGTGTCTGTATCCAATTCTGAAGAGTTTTGTCACAGCAGCTCACGTTATAGCCGAAAATATTCAACTTCTTCCTTATGATTCCAGTTATAGGAATCTCATTGCTTTTGTAACAGTCGTAATGATTTTATCAGATGAAAACAAATCTGTTTAAAATCTAAGAACGTGGTAAAACTTCTCCAGGCCTCGAAAAGAAGTTTCTTCCTGTTGAAAATAAAAATCAGACATATTAGATACATGATAAAAATAAAATACACTGAGATAATAATATTCTCGTTTGTTTCATGTCTGTCTGTAGTGTTGCTGCCTCGAGAATTTTATTATTTTATGGTTTTTTATTCTTATCATGTATCTAATATGTATGATTATTTCAAAATAGTTACATTGTCAACACGAACAAACTTGTTTTCGATTAAGTTCGATTAAGTACGAAACGATGGCAAAAAATAAATGTTTTTTTTTTTGAAAAAGTTGATTCTCTTACTCAATTGATATTTTTTCTCCAGGGAGCTAGAGGGGAGATATGTGGAGGCTTCAGTGACGCAGCTTGGGGTCGCCCGACAGGAAAAAGCCACTATGTCCTCTCCGAGAGAGCGTTTCTGTTCACTCTGTACAATCATCAGGACTTACCACCCACTCAGTTCCATGTGGTGAAGAAACCGTTCGCAATTTGTTATCACCCAGAGTAAGTATATTTATGATACAGATTAAACAAATTTATACTAGTGGTATTGCGGTATTATGGTTTTATTGTTATGCAGAATATAAAAAAAATGCTCTGGAATTCAGCTAAAATTCTAAAATAATTTCCTTTTGTAAGCAAAAACGTTGAACAGGAACAAGAAATAAATAAATTTCACTAACCTTTCTCTTGCCAGCCAACATTTGTTTTAGATTGTGGAAGATGGGAATTCCCAGAAAAAACCGTTGAACAACCTGAAATACATTTCTCAAAATGAAACGATCCATATTTTTCAATAGGTAAAAATCTACAACAAGTTTAGCAATTGGAAAGACCCAACATGACATTTTTAGATATGTATCAAAAATCCCTTTCAATACATGATAATCAACAACCCTAGCAGCAAATTTTGAAGAAGGATTCCTTCTCTAGTCTCAAGACGTTTCAGTGGAAAATATTCATGTGTAAACTGTAAACTTACAAGTGCAAGACTAACACAAAAATCTACTTTGATCCTTGTTTGTACACCACAAAATTTTAACCTTCTCGAAGGGGTTTTTTAATCACCAATTTCGGGACAATTTACGAGAAACAAAGTTAAATGAAGGAGCAAATCGACTGTTTCAAGTTTTTTTTCCAATTGAATCAATTGCAAAACAGTAACATTAGAAATTGAGTATTTTGTCAACTTGGCCAAACTTCTATATATAATGTACCTGTACGTGACTCTTCCTTGGAATTTTAACGTTATTCCAAAGAATACGGCACTTCACTCACTGAATAAACTTCACTTCACAAAATGTCGACAATTTTTATTGAATTTATCGAGATACTTCTACGAAATTTATCTGAGACTTTCATAGCCTACCGCGGATCAAACGCCGCAACCAATCAAACGCGCCTCTCCTGTGTGATTTCATAAGATCCAATAACAATCCTTATTTGACATCACATGCACTCTATTCTCAGATATAATTGGGTGTTTGAAAATCAGAACTACGAAAATTGACTTCTTCTTCTTCTTTTATTTCATGATTATCAACCTAAGTAATTTTTTTGTCACTGTAGGAAAGTTTTCGGAGCTGCAGCACTTTTGGAACATTTGAATATGGCATTATACTATGACAATTGGAAAATAAGATGTCAGATGTCTCCATAGGTTATAAAAAGATGCACAAAAACCCTAGAGTTGTAACTATCTGCCTTTGTTTTACCAGAAACTCTCGTTGCAAGAATGACATTAACCCAATTTTGTACACATGTTGATAGATGGTGCAAAAATCGTAATCGCGTGTATTTTATTCAAATCTTTAATTTAAGGATCTTAATGTAAACAAATCTTTCAACCAATATTAATGTATTCACATTGAAAATATTATTTTTTTATCAAGGGTGTCGAAGTTCGAGAACTTTTAACATAATATACTTGGGTTATTTATGTTATATGTTCAATATCTGCAAACCAGTTTTTTGAGCCTGTTTTGAAATAGTTTAAATATCTTTATTGGATTTTTTCTTGGAGATTATTTTAGGATTTTGGAGAAATGATTTGTGTTTATGTAGTTCCTGCAAATACTTTTCTGAATTCTGTTTATCAACATATCCATCTTGTGAATATTTTTTTCATGATACACGCTCTCCCGACTCTTTAAAACTAGTTTCAATTATTGAAACTTGGTTCTAGATGTTTTACGTTGATTTATATTAACATTTTTGTACTTGCTTACGGTTTCTGCAATTGAAAACTACTAAACTACAAAATCCAAAATAGTGAAACTTTTTTATTAGTTCAGGCCCCATATTCGGAGCAGGAGCAGATCTTCTAATTTCCAGCAACTGCAACAGCAATATGGACAGCTATTCCAATTTGCCTCACACATATGACGGTGAAGGAGCTTCTCCTTCTGTGTTGATGGGAGACTACAACTTCTCTGTAGCTGATTATGAAGTCTTCGCTCCCTTGAATTCCACAGCAAATAAATCAAACAAAACTGAACGATATCAATAGAGTTGCTTTCTGTATGGTATTTATTGTTTAATTTTAAATTACTGATATAGATATAGTAATTTCAATAAAAAATTGGTAAGCAATGTTTATATTTCAATTATTCTAGAATTACTTCAAATATTGCCTCATCGATTTTCTGTTTTTGGAAGAATTTAATAACTGCGCCAATGCCTCACAATGCTGTCTCTAGACTCTAAATTTTTGTTAGTTCAACCTTCGAGGTGAATTTAAGTTGTTTTAATGTGTTTGGAATGGAATATTAGAAAAAATGAGTACTGATTTTCATAAAATGTTATAGCTGTCTTTTTAGACTTAATTTCGTCCACCTGTAAAGACCCTTCAAGATGTACTTGTGATGCATTGTTTGGAACCTCTTGAAGACGATCACTTGGTGATCGAAACACGTGTCGAAGTGTTGAAAATAACGGTTTGGTGCTGGAGAAAAAACTCCAGTAATATTCTTTACCCTTCAAGATATTGCAAGACAGTCAAAATTCTAGATTTTGTTATATCGAAAATTTTACTGTAAAACTAACATAAGTATAATAAAATTGCAAACAAATATTTTGTGGATTTATAAATAAGTTTGTTTTATTATCATATCAAATATCGCTTCATCGATTTTCTGTCTGTATGAGTATTTAATGATAGCCCTAATGTCACAAAATGCTGTCTCTAGACTCTAAATTTTTGACAGTTCAACCTGTGAGGTGAATTCAAGGTGTTGGAATGTGTTTTGAATGGAATATTGAAATAAGTGTTGATCTTAGCGAGATGTTATAGCTGCCTTTTTCAACTTTATTGAGAGTCCAAATTCTAGATTTCGTTCATCAAAAATTCTAATAAACTTGCACTTCAAGTGTTCTAAAATCACATCAAATATCGAATCGATTCTCTGTGTCTAGAACTATTTAGTAATTGTGTCGTCACACAATACTGTCTCTAGACTCTGGAATTCTTGATAGGTCAAACTCTGAAGTAATTTTAAAGTGTTGGTAAGTGCCCAAAATACAATATGAAAAAAATAAGTATTGATTTATTATAAGATGCTTTAGCTATCTTTTCCAACTTTATTTCAATCTCTTGTGAAGACCCTTCAAGATTTTGCATTATAATATTCCTCGAATAACATTTTTTCATTGCTGTGATATGAACACAGATGAAAGAAAACAGATTTAAAACTGGTAACGTGAATGCCTTTATTAAACTTTCGTCTTTTCTAAATTAGAAACTAGTGATGATTATTCCTTAGCGTTAATCACACGATCCATCAAGCCATCCGTCTCGCCACCTTTCGTTCACCTTCGAACAGTCAAATATCTCTTTACCTAACTTCACGTTAACTTTGTTGTGCAGCCGGCACAACCACTGGCTCAAAGCGTCTTGGGATTCGGTCTTCGGTGGATCAATTTTCAATCTTAAACAAGAAGTACGAGTGAGGAAAAAAATACTATTCATGTATTTCACATGATAAATTCATTTGAAACCATTAAAATCTTCACAGAATAAATCAACTCTATTGAGAATCAACCCGATAATTCAATAGTTTTTAGGGCGGGTTTATAAACATTACAAAAAAAATGTTCTGGGATCACATCAAATATCGCTCCATCGATTGTCTGTCTCTAGAAGTTCTTAATAATTGCGCCAGTGCCACACAATGCTGTCTCTAGACATTTTATACCGTAGCATCAACATTTAAACAGAACTAACACTAGTATCAACTGAAATCAATTGATCTTGTTGAGTGATGCGACTCCATAGTTGCCAACTGCGGTAAAATAATGACATTTGCTGTTGAATAAATAATCTATCTTTCTAAGTTCCTGCTGCATTTTCATTTTTGGGGCGTAATTGGGACAGACCATCTTATATTTCTTCAAAGCTGATTCTTCATTCTGGAGCCCCAACTTCATATAGCACGACTGGAAATCTCTTTTCAACCATATTCTCATTTACCAAAAATGAAAATGCAGAAGGAACTCTGAAAGATAGGTTATTTATTTATTAGCAAATGTCAAATGTCATTATTTTACCGCAGTTGGCAACCATGGGGTCGCATCACTTGAAATGGTCAATTGAATGTATAATAATCGATAAATTACTACAAACCCAATATTTTGTTAGATCTTAAGAGGGGTGTTCATAAAAAAAGTGACATTCAAGAAATAAAATGTAAGAAAGTTGATTATACAGGTTCAACGCAGGGCTTTTATGAAATAAATAAGCTAAAGCAAGGAAAAATCCACAAGCTAAAAGTTTTCCAATTTTTTACTTGTTTTATTTTATTTTGGACATCTTCAAAGTGCTCCAATAATGGTGGATTTTCTTAATAATGAGTGTATCGATATGTATATACCACTCAATGTGTTTCTTAAAATGGTTAGGTTTTTATTTGTGAGGCGAAGTACTGTGTTTTCTGCATATTATACTGATCACTTACACGATTCATTATACAAAATCGGATTCAGAGCCATGATCTTTCAAAAATGCTCTCATTCACCAAACATCTATCGAATCTCATTTAATTTATTTGAGTGTGTATTATTCAATTTATCACACAATTGATCACAAAAGAATTTTGTAATCAACGGAATCAAATGACTTTTTCAAGACTTTTATCAATATTATCCTGAATGAAGTCAATCGCTTCTACAAATATCAATGAATTCAACTCAATACATGAAGAATCACAAATTCGCCCAGTTTCAACATATTACATAACGTAAGAAACCATTGCACAATGCTTACTCGTCTCTGAAGTCCTTTGCACAGTGTTCGCAAGGATAAAACTTTGAAATCAATGAGAAAAATGTCTTCATATCACATTGTTCCTGCTTGCTGGGTTGTTCCGGATATTTAGCCGCAATCGTGTGCAGTAAACCCCAAGATTTATTTCCTAACTCATCTTTGTCGAGGGGGCAGTCTTCCCTTCTTGGTGGAAGGTCCCCATTGGCACTCTGAAAAAATAACATGAAACCAACACGTAGATACAAAGTCTAGATACCAACATTTGTGGCAGCGCTACCTGCACCTTCTTCCAGTCCTTTTTTTCTGGTTGATTTCATATATTCTGAAAAACTTGAGCATTGTCTACACTGTTCGTTGTCTAAGGGTGATGGACGACGGGTCATATCACACGAAATGATTCATGATACCGCTGAAAATTTGAATTAAACTGAAATGCCGAAAATGAATATGAAAGTGGTGATTACTTAAATGATGATCGTAGAATTTTCAATTTTGACATGACATTTTTGACATATTTCCACATTCCATATGTGGTAGGTTTGTTCGAAGCTTTTGTTCCTGTCATAAACACTGAACTCGAATGTAAATCTTAGTTCTATGATTCAAATACTCTGCAAAAGAACATACGAATCTATATGGACCTTACAGGAAACATTGAAGCGGTGTGCAAGACCAAAAGCACCAATAACATACTGTTCATCATATATTTTTCTCTTTGAATTTATCAAATATTTGATCATATTCACATATTTCCTTCATTAAAAACGTAAAATAGGTTAATCAGTCAAAATTGACTATGATCTCATATGTTACATAGGGAAAGAGAATTTTAGTCAACCTGATCAACGAATATGTTTTGTTAGCTCAAATCGTTAGATAATGTCGATCCATCAGTGAATTCCATAAAAATAAGACTTGGCAACGACTGTGGTGGACTGTAGACATAATTCAAATGCGTGTACTACTTCACAATCCCAAATTAAAAATTAAAAATCATGCTTTCTCACTATGCAGCATTCCTAACTCAACTATGTACTAAATTAATCAACTTCACTGACTGGGTGACTGCATATGTGATAGTAATCCACCGAAAACTTCAAGTATATTTTAGAAATGGCTAGTGCTTGATTTGTTCTGGAAAATCAGCAACTTACATAGAACAAATAAATTGAATGCCAGATGATAGAAATTACTTCAAAATAACTGAGGTCAAGGTATCTGATGATATCCATAGTAAAGACACAATCAAAGAAGCCATTGTATGGCGAAAGACGTGTTGCGTGTTTGTAAAATCGTTTTGTGAAAATCCCACAATATAGTGTTTTGTGTTTTTTGAATACGTTAGTTATGGATTTTCATCCAGTATCGGACAATTCCATCAGATATCCATATGAATATATTATAGAGCCGCCTTCTTGTGGACAGTAATCACCGTATAATAAACATTTTCTGTATTACAATATGCAATAGGAATTATTCTCTTGATTGATTCGAGAACGAAAGTGTTATCTTCTGGGGAACACTAACCAAAACAAATATTTCTCAATACAAATCTCAGCTATGTTCTATGCGATTTTGCAGTCAACCCAATGATGATCAAATATGTGTCACATAGAGCAATGAGTGATTACCAGCAGACAGGACTTTGTTGTACAGTTTGACTCAGTTCTAAGTTCTAATATTTCCGATGAATGTCACGTCTTATCTGGAGTAAGTTCTTGTTCTGTGGGATTAACTGGAAAATAATGTAACTATGGAGGATAGGGGTAATGATAACTAACTCATGAGGTCACGAGGGGATTCAACTAACAAGAGATCTTCAGATGATGTGGTGCTGCAGGTTTTTCTGGGTTTTCCTGAAGCTGAAAAAGCAAATGCCTCACTGAAATCAATGAAGTCGCTCTGGAGCTCCGCTAAAAAAGTGTCCACTAATTAACAATAAATTTTTGTTCAAAATTCGACCAAAATGGCGTCAATATCAAAAGTGGTATGATATGAACTTAGCAATTATGGAGAACGTGAAGAATGTTGAGTTTCTGATAATTTGAGCTGGTAATGATAAGGAGAAATGTAACTATTCATGTAGTCGAATATTTTATGGTGAATATAACCTAACAAAGTTACTGTGAGAAAGTCAATGAATTATTGTGAAATTCAAAGAGCTCTTGCAAGCGAAGGTTTCTACTTCCGCTTTACCTAGCTCACCTTATTCTATAACTTTGAGCGCTCATTTAAAATTCACACTCTTGCTACAGTGGCGCCTCCCTGATTTGATGGCTTTGGACGGACACTATGGAGAACCAATAGATGTCACAGAACAAAATCTGCCATCTATTAGCAAATACGGAAATGTAACATAGCAACTGCTTTAATTTTTTTGTTACAATAAAATGTTTGAAACAAAAACCTGAAATAAAAGAGATGCTCTATTCTAATAAACTAATTTACTTCATTTTATTTTTGGAAAGGATAATAATCTAGTCCAGTGTTATAACTGAATTTGGGTTTTTCAGATTTTTTGGCTATTTTTAGCAGTTCTTGGACATCAGCTCGATATGGCGGAGGCTTCAGTTCATCTTCCAAAGTACATTCAAAAGGTTCCTGTTCTGTCTTTTTATAAATTCTTCTCCTAATCACATCGATATCTCTACTATATTCATCCAAGAGTTGATCTATTCTTGTAGGAGGAACGTTGAATTCAAACATGAAATAACTGAAAACAAGAAAGTTTCAGAAGAAATTCATTGAATAATAGAAAAACGATGGATACCTTGCTCTGTTGTAAGCTACACCATGAGCGCTTGTTTTATAGGGCATATCTCGAGTTCCCAAATTTTCCAGTTTCCTGATAACACCATTTTTCTCTAAAATTGCGTTTGCTGTTCTCTTCAACACATTTTTTAACTCTGGCTGAAATAATGGGCGATTGGAACAATTATTAGGTTTCGAGTAATAAGTTACAAATTTTATGTAGTATGAATTTATTATTTGGCCAAAATTTTTCATGACTGAAAACTTACGATATGTGATTAAAAGTTTCCACTCATAGAATTCATGTTTTCCACTTGTTATCACTTATAACTTTCAACTCATACACATTAACATTATGAGTGTAACTAAATGGAATACAGTATTAATGCTTGCTATGGAAAACGGCTCAAATGACAAACCAAAAAAAGACTGATAATTAGTTTACATTCATACTTCAAATGTTAATATTTTCTCTAAAATTTGGACTGCATGCTCACTTTGAAAACATAATTCAAATTTCATTCATAACCTCCAAAATAGTCTATTTTTAGTGGAATGAAAATACCTTGGGCATAGTCCGTAGAAGGAGTAATAGTTCGTAAGTTACTATCATATTTACAAAATTATTAGTAACTGTTTTTTCAAGAATCCATTCGCTTTTATACTTCTCTTCAGAAACTTTAATAATATCGACTAAATGTACCTTTATAGTGTTGCCAAAACACCGGAAGTGCAAAAAAAAAAACTATGATTGTGTGACCACCAAAACTCATATCTTCACGAAAACATATTTATTTCTAGGAAAATAGTAGATAACGACTAGGCACTTTCCACTACTGAGTATTTTTTTTAATGTTATGTATCGTATCATGTTATATTGTTTCCCATTTTCGATTTCCATAATGAATATTTAAAGTATGAAGTGAGAAAAAGAAGGAATTTTCCTTTTTTTTCATTCCCCTTATCATTGAGAGAAATTAGTTTTTATTCGATTTTTCGCTAATGGAAATATATATATTGTTGATCTACAGTTTTATTTTCCTAGAGTTTTCATTGGTTCAATGTTGGCAACATTTATAAAGGATAGAAAATAACCTAGAACTTCTGACGAGTTGCTACATTTACAATCTAAAAACTATTTTCAATATAAGAAACATTGGCTTATTTCGTGTTTGTGAACTAAACTATCGAAATGCGCTTGAAGTTATTTTTAACTCCAATTAATACCTACCGAATGATGGTTTGCCGATATTCCTCGTCAAACAAAGACCCCAAGATAGTCCCCATTGATGAAGGAAGCACGTTATTAGCATGGCATCCCAAAAAGGATTTCCCTTACGAATGTACAAAGCCTCTGCCTGAGAAAGTTGAATTTGCAGAGGCCAGTGTGTTGAAGACGACACTCACTCCGGAGGTTATGAGTATATTCAACAAAAAGACCCCCGAGCAAGCTAGACAAGAACTCATGAACATAACCCATACAACGAAACACAGGTGGTTTCCTAGAGCTAGAGATAAGCGTGCTAAAAAGACCCCGATGGATAGACCATACTTGTAAATTTAAAAATCCTGTAGTTCAACTCGTTTTTAATTAAACAATGCAAGTTACATGGATTGTTTTTTTATTTCGCGGCACTTGGAACAAATATAAACATTACTAGGAAATCTGAAACTCTCTAGAATAGAATAAAACAAATGTATGCGAACTTTTTATTAATTCGTTAAGGCTATTAAAGCATTCACAACATTGCCATGGTATTCTCGGAGAGTTCGTTCCGCTTGAACCCTCGTTATTTCCATTTCCCGTACAATCAAGTCTACATCCTCTTTCTTGATAAGCACCTTCAATAGTTCTTTTTCTCTTGCCTGTTTTTCCAACGCAGCTTTATTCCTCCTGTCCCCGATCGCCGATATAGCATCTGCGACGTCCTGAGTTGAGATTTCTTTTTCTTCGGCATAATCTGTTACCTTTTCCAAATCGGCGGCTCCACTATCGTACTTGGCTGTCTTTTTCTGCTGACCTTTTTCTGGCAATTCTTCAGCGGTACCATTCACAACTTCTTCGTCTGCCATAATGTTTTAAAGTTGTCAACTATTATTCTTCTATTCACAAGTATTGAAGTATTATTATTTATTTTTTTTATTCGCTAGGATACTGTAAAAATTTTACAGTAAAATATAAATTTTAAATGACATATTTCTTCTTCTTTTTCTCTTTCTTTATGGCCTTTGCTTCCCTTCGGCGCAGTAGACCAGTCTCCTCCTTAATCCGGGGACAAACTTATAGGCCCTAAGTCCACGTGAATTGAGGTTTTGTTGCGTAATTGGAACTTTTGGCTTGAGTAGCTGCATTCTATCTTCACTTGCTGGTAGGTATTCACCGGACAAAGAATACATATAAAGGTTGTGATATTAGGAGCTATTTTTCCTTTCTGTATGAATTGATTATATATATTATTTTCTGGACTGGTTGTAATCGGACATTCAAGAAAATATGGTTTAGAGTTTCTGGTTTGCCGCATTCACAATCTTGTTATTTTGACAGAAAAAAGTATATATAATGAATGTAATAAATGTCACATCAATTCTTTGTTCAAAGTGAAAATGAATTATTCATAGCAACATCTCAATTCGAGTGCCTCTAATAACATTTCTCATATTGCCCGAAATCAAATCTTCCACGTTCATTTTTCCAAAATTTCAACTATATATAATATCACTTAACTTCACTCCCTATTCTTAAATGCACTTTTGCCGTTGTCTGTACATCCTTCACACTCAAAAAATAGAACCAAAACAAAAAATTCAGCGTAGTAGAATAAACAACTCCTGTAACCTTAGTTCGAACTTTCCGTTGTCTAATTGAACATATGCTTTATTCACTGAAAGTATAATTGAGTGGTAGTCTAACGTATATTTTGATCGAAGATAAGAACCAGTCTTTTCACCAGACTGGCAACTGCAACTGCCACTGCCAATTCAAAAGAAGTAAGTGTTTTTTTAATAGAGAAAGTGACAGCATTTCCTTGAGAAAGACTGTTGCGCCCCCGGACGAAGCTACTGTTCACTATGAACAGGAGGAGCCTAGTCCACAGACCATGCCTAGTCGAATGTTAAGCAAGGGCCATAGAAATTAGAGAGAGACAAAAAGAACTATCCACAGAACTATAAATATAGTTCTGTGGAATTACGTGACTTGTAAGATACTTCTTCAGTTTGTGTTTCATGGTGCAAAGTTGTGGAGCATTTATTCGGAAGCCATATTTGTGAAAAATCTCCTGCAGGACATTAATTTTGAATTCGAGAGGAGTCGACGACCTATTCAGGTACTTGAAAGAAAATGCAAGTTTGAATTTCTAGTTTAAGGCCGTTAGATATTAGCATAAATATATAAATCGATTTTGATGTTGCTGTCAAGACGTACAGTTCATTGATTACCTAATACCCGACTAAACACAAAGGGTATTTTCTGAGTGAGCCCCTTTCGCGATCTCAACAATACCAAAACCCCTTCTCATATTAGAGTTTCGTCGCCAATTAGCACCCCCCATCAGCAAGACGAACATGATTTTGCATATAACATTTAATTATACCTGCAAGTTCTCTTGTAGGTCAGACATCATACTTCCCACAGATGAATGCCGCATCGAGAGTATGGGATATCCCTCCGCCCCCTGGCACCGAGGACGTCGACTTGGACTGTTCAAGCAGCAAAGACGAACCCAGAGAAGAGTCTCAAGATAAATCGGAAGAAGCGAGTTCTAGTCGCGCAGGCGACCGACTGACTCCTTCGTCAAAGAGTGCCGACGTGTCCGATTACGAGAAGAGACACACTGAGCGGAAGCACAGGTCAAAGTCTCGAAGCCGCTCTAGAGGCAGGCACCACCGACGTAGACATTCCCGAAGCAGGTCTAGAGACCGCCGTAGACGCTCCCGGTCGCGATCTAGACGCCGGAGGAGACGTTATAGCTCCTCCAGAAGCAGATCACGCTCGCCCAGCCACCGCCACAGTCGTCACCGATACAGCAGACGCAGGCGATCGTCCTCTAGGTACTCCAGGTCCAAGTCTCGGTCGAAGAGCACTTCCAAGTCGCATCGCAGGCCCCACAAGAGCAAGGTTGAGAAAGAACCGCGTGCCCACACACCTCCCTCTTCCTCAGACGAGAAACATGTTCCCGATGCCGACACAAACGAGGTAGACATGAAAATAGAGGAGGAGGAGGAAGACACCTCGAAAGACAATGTTTTCAAGAACGACGGCACGTTCTTGGAGATGTTCAAGAAGATGCAGCAGCAGCAATTGAAGCAGGAGCCGGCAGCTGTAGCCGAAGAAAGTAAGAAGCCCGTGCTTCCCACGTTCGGGAAGCGAAGAGGCGGCAAAGTTCTGAAGACGGGGATGGTTCAGAAAGTTAGACAGATCAACGAAGATGAAAATAACGCCCAGGATGCTTGGTCGGTGTACATGAAAGAAGTGAGGAAGTACAAGGAGGCCTGCTGTGACGACGACTCCAAAACTAGGCCTCTCGTTAAATGAAGTGTTGTGGGAAGTTGGGGTTGCATTGTTTTTTATTTTTTATAAAGTATATTTTCGGTCTCGGAACTTGAAGGAAGTGGTGTGAGACGAACTATAGCTAAATAACAAGTATATTAGAGCACCCAAGTACTTGATTGAGTAGTTTATAAATGGTTGTCTTCGTCTTTTGGGTTTCTATGGATCTTTTACCCTGTGTTTTGAGTACGCATCTGATACTGTCAGGTGGCAACAAATTAAATATTATCATTGAATTTATGTAAGTTGTTATGTATGACTAAAGATTCTGGAATAAAATTTTTTCAGGCTAATGATCATTGTTTTTGGCGGAGATTTCACTTGCAGCATACTTTCTAGAGTTTTGTTGATGGGGGAACTCTCAAATGAGCTCGTTTTGTAGACCCTGTATAAGAAGGGTCTAGCTACAGACATAGTTCAACCCTCCCAAGTTTTTTACATATATTTCTAGCATGTAACAGAATGTAAAGGTTTCCAACTCAACTTATCTCACAGAAAGAACACAAATTGTTAGAGTTAATCATTAATATTCTCATACCATCGCAGTTACATCGGGTGTTCCACAAGGTTCACATTTGGGACCTCTGTTGTTTAACCTTTTTATCAAAGATCTAATCAGCTGTTTCCATGATTTAAAATGTTTCAAAATGATTGAAAGTGAAGCCGATACGTTGTATCTACAAAACGGTATAGATTGCCTATCTAACTGATGTTCGCAAAATGGTATGTGTATGTGTGTTTTTTAATATAGTATAAATAATTGGACCTTACATTATGCTACTGAAAACAAAGATCTAGGTGTGATCCTAGACTCCACACTTAGCTGTAAATCACACATTTCTGCTGTAATTCAAAAATCTATGAAGATGCTTGGCTTTATAAAGAGAACCACTCGTGATTTCACCAACATCACTGCTATTAAGTCTCTTTATTTTCCCCTGGTTAGATCTCATCTCGATTATTGTTCCACAGTTTGGTCCCCTCATTAAGTTACACAAAAAGTGAAACTCGAGACCGTACAGCACAATTTCCTGCGATATATAATAATAATAATTTTTATTAGTCTCAAGAAACACACAGTTTATAGACACATCAATACAATTTCTAAAATAGGTTTGAGAGGGTAAGATTTGTCAATATAGTTTTTAAAAAATGCTTGTTGGTAAATTAGATTTACCAAAAAAAAATACAAGTTAACAGGATAAAATTCCAGTCTCATAAGACTTGACTAAAATGTAAAGCCATGAGCTTTTACAAATTATAAACACATAGCTAACGTATTATATATATATATTCAAAGTTGAGTAAAAGTTTGGGAGGTGTCCACAAAAGTGTGTCTTTCTTCTTGGATAACTTTGAAAAATTGATCAATTTCATATAAAGGATGTTTGGTTAATATTTTCTTCAATAAGTTTTTGAATCTTCTAAATGGCAAGTTACGTTTTTTTTATTTTTTAACTTGCTTATGATTATTCTCACCCCATCTGTCGTTACAGGCCTAAAGAACATCGACTTATTTGTGTTCATTTTTTTAGTGCAGTAGTAGTTGTGTTTATGTTATTGATGAAGAAGTCATTCATCTGGTTAGCTGTTTGATTTTATGGTTGATTTAAGATTTTGTTTTTTCGACCTGTTTCGGGGTTAATGATTTGCCACACAGTTTTGCTATAATTATCTGTTTTACTTAATATACTGTGGTAATGTGACTCCTGATATTGTCGTTTACAAGTTTTATAGATGTTTTTATGTTGTTGTTTTTATATTGCCTTCAAGATTCGTGTTTACTATGACTATACTGCATTGGAATGCATTTTGAACATACCTTCTCTTGAGGCTCGCAAAAAACATAGAAATTTCGCAGACTTGCAAGACTAGATGATAGAAAAAACTATATGTTTCAGTTTCTTTGTAACAATCATTACTGGAATGTTAGCCTTTCAGAAGGAGACCTTTTCAGAAATTCCCAGATACTGTGTCACTTTTTCCAAAGAGTCCCTTCCATTTGGAAAATTTATATGAAAAAACAGGAAATCATGGTTAAGAAGGGTATCACGATTTCCTTACAAAACATGCTTTGCCTACGCTGTATAAGAAATTTCTTCAATAACTCCTAATGAATAACTGTTGAAGAAATCAAAAGATGTTTTTCTCAAAGTAAGATAGGAACCAAAATAGTCAAGCGGGGAGTCATTTTGATTGAATCATTTTTGCGAAAGGCTTTCTACTTTTCCATCTTTACACATAAAAAAAATGATTTGCTTTCTTCCTTGGGAAGATTCCCACATTTTAATTTTTTTATAAAGGTGGAGAAACAGAAAGCCAAAGCTTTTATTTCTCAAAAATGGATCTATCCTAAAAAATATTGCTTTCAATTTGCCATATTCGTTCTGAATACTGCATATTGCATTTTGAATATAAAATTTCACTGTTACATGTAAAGTGCATTTTGTTTGGTATGCCAAAAATAACTGAAAGACTGACTGGGAAGTGAGTGTACAATGTCTGTTGAAAAAATCAGGTGAATTTTAATTTTTCTCAAAAAATATTCATCAATTTCTATTTTGTCTTCTTCAAAGTAGTCCCCCACAGATATAATACATTTGAGCCAGCTTTTTTCCCAATCCTCAAAGCAGCTCTGATGTGCACAAATCTGGTGAATATGGAGGCTGAATCATATACAATTCCAAATGGCATGCATATAAACAATATCAATAAAATAAAACAGATTTGAAACAAATCAAAACTAGCTACTGGGGCAACTTGAGAGTGTCAAAAGTAATTGATCTTCCGCACAGCTTGCTTTTTGAACTGGGCGAAAGTCAAATGTGTGATGTCAAGGGATGATAAGTTTTCAGTATAGTTTCTTTGCAATCTTGTTGTGAAAGCAGTATTTCCATAATTGGTTCGATGGTTTTGTATATAGAAAAACCGTCTTCGACGGTTCTGCAACTGACATGAATGAACAGCCTCTTTAAGATATCTGAACAATCGATCGAATTGTTCATGATCTGTTGAAGAAAATATATCGTGGGAGGTTTACGCCTATCCTTAAGTGTTTGGAGGTTGACTATTGTAAGTCTACAATAGTCTATAAATATTGTTTATATGATTGTTGAAGTTCAGATCCTTGTCAAACGCAATACGGTGTTGTTTTTGGTGTTTTATGCAAACGCAAAAGACTTCTAACTCGTATGCCTCCCACCAACAAACTAAACATGCTAAACAGCCAAAACTGTTAGCATATGTTCACTAAACAGGGTTACAAAACTGAAACGTGTTATTTGAAGAGGAGTTCTTCAATCAATAATTTTTTAATATTCAGATCCCTGACGACTGATTTTTTTACAAGTTTTTTCCTAAGGTAAGTTGTCAAAAAAGTAAGAGATAGTAGGTACAATAATTTTTGGGTATAAGGAGCGGGTGAAAGTCGAGTTTTTTTTTGTATAACTTCAAACAATGTTCTGGAGAGGCAAGATTATCAACACTCTTAGTTCTCTTCTAATAACTTCGAGTTAAGTAAAACATAAATAATTAATTTTGAAATAAACCAAAGTGACACAATAGAAATTATGGTTAATTATTGATCAGCCAAATCTAGCCAAAACCAAACGAAAAATTTTTCAATTCTGATCTTTCATTAGTGTTACTTTTCTCTTCTCAGGAATACAGAAGTTGTCAATTATCTTGATAACTTTCACTTTTTGAACACAAATATTTTTTGCTATCAATAAGGGTTGAATTCCAATATCTCTGACGGTACTTGTCATGCACTGTTTGGCACCTTTGGTGAAGTAATGAATATTACAGAAGTTTTTTTCCACCCCCAACCGTTTTTTTTACCCCTTGGACACGTGTTTGCATCACCAAGTGACCATCTTCAAGAGGAAGATCAAACTAAAACGATCTCCCTCTTGGAGATGAAGACGTTGCATACAAGCCCGGCTGAATGTGTTGATGTTCATTATGTACGCAGCCTCTTTACACTTCCTCTCTAACCAATGTTACCCCTATGGATTATTTCAGCATCGGGCTACTTGATGTGGTAGTGATTCCAATTATGTTCCACTATACCCGATTTGCTGGTTCCACCTTGAAGAGTGTTTGCTTTGTGCTCGCCAAAACGGACTTTCAATCGGACCAATGATCGGTGTGAGCGGAATACCTTTCTTGTGGATTTTGGGTAGTCATATGTAGGGCAGGTTGAATGAAATATGGTTGATTTATTCATTTAAGTAGGACAATCCTAATTTACGAAAAATAAAATAGTTAACATACTTATTTTACACTAAATATAACTTATAATATGGTGTAGTAATTATCATTGCCTTACTTTTACTTACATTTAACTTCAATTCATTCATTTTCAAATATCTATCCATATTTTTCAGCACATCATTTATTTTGATCACTGCTCTATCGATATTCCCATCACTTACTGATATCAGAGTATCATCTGCGAATATATGAATGTAATCACATTCAACATACTTTTCCATATCATTATTATACATTAAAAACAATAGAGGGCTCAAAGTATTACCCTGAGGAACTCCATGATTCGCTGTAATAGCTGCCGACATTACGTCACAAATTTTTGTTGTCTGTTTTCTATTTGTGAGGTATCCTCTGATCCAATTGAATACTTTACCCTCTACACCATATTTATTTAGTTTTTTTAATGATATCTCTCGATTTACTGTTTCAAAAGCCCGTTTTAGATCCAGTGATACTGCTATTGTGTACAGATGATTACTCCATACAGGTGAGGGGGCTTACTGTGGTGCGGTGTTAGCGATGATCTCCCTATTGCCGAAAAATAGACTTGGTGTTTTCTCAAAGTCTGATATTGATGTAGTAGGGTCCCGTACAATATTCGTGTATCACCCCTTCTGAAGAACATCTTCGATCACACCAGTATCGTTTCCTTTATCTGCAGGTAGAATCTTGATGGTGCTATCTCTTCGTAGGCCGTAGCTCTTCGTTCTCTTCCGCTGATGTTAGATGTTGTATCCGGTTCTCTATCCAGCTGTTCTCTGATTTTCCATCTAAATTCTTCTGCCTCGGTCTGACCAATAAGGGTACTGGTGGATTCCACTGCAGTAACTATCTCCAAAGTGGGCACAGATGTTGGCCCAATGCCGAAGTTTAGACCTTTCAGTAACAGGGAGTCCTCTATCTCCGTGAGCGGGGGGGACTCATGTTGATGACATTAGCGGCTTCGTCGTTGTCCTGTTTTTGGTCTATATTTAGGCATTGTTTCCTCACCAATCTTCCTCATTTACGGTTGTGGGTATCCTCCATGTCTTGGCGGATCTTTGTAAAGATTGGTCCATGATTTGTTCTTTCAGAGATTTCAAATGTTATTAGAATCATGTTAGTCCGATCTAGTAAAATTCACCATGTAACATTGTCAACCGCTTTCAAACAAAAGTTCATTTGTTATTTCTTTCTAGACATCATGCCAGAAGCCATCAGCGCAGAAGAAATCAAAACGGCTCCCTTTGACCCTCGCTTCCCCAACACCAATCAGACCCGTTACTGCTACCAGAGCTACGTGGACTACTATCGGTGCCAGAAGGTTCGCGGTGCCGACTACAAGCCATGCGAGTATTTCTCCAAGGTTTTCCATTCCGTGTGCCCCAATGGATGGGTCGAAAAGTGGGACGGCCAGAGAGAGGAAGGCACTTTCTCCGGAAACATTTAATTTATTCCTGTATCGTTAGTTGTTTGTAGAAATATTCATTCTTCCTTATAAGGGCGTTATATTGAGGTGACTTGGGTGAACAAATTATGTTACATTAAACTCGACGTTCTTTTTCAGTTATTTTTTTCATAGCTGTTTATATAGTGAAAAACTCAGTAAAAATATTATATACCAAATGCATTTTCTTCATGATATGATCACATAGCATTGTTTTCCCGTAATTTGTTATTAAAAATCGGATTTTCTAGGCCCGTGACGTCACGGTCCAGTCCCGCTTCTTGTCCTATTGACCAATAGCAACAATACAAATAATGAACGTTGCCAAATTATAAAATTCACGGAGCGTAAAAACAGTTTCTGATTCATTCGTGATTCAAAGTAAAATCACACTCACTTTCGACAACTAAATCTAAGAAGAAAGTTTAAGAAATGCATTGGAAGGAAGAATTAATTATACATGGGATCCAAATAACACAAAACGCAATAAAAACGTTATTTTTTTAAATATCTCCGGCAGTAGCCATTTTCATATTGATATCACAGAAATTTTAATAATGGAAGTGTATAAAAACCCGTTAACGTTTAAATTCATGAAAAAATTCTCCATATGAAATAAAATGTACTCGAAAACCATGGTTCTAAATAGAAGGCTCATGAGTCCTAATAAAATAAATCAATTATGCATTCATGCCACCCATCAGAAATAAGAAATTCAACGTTATGTATTAGCCATATTACCACTCAGTCAGCTATCTCTCTTGAATGTATGAGACAATGTACTCTTTCTAATGTTTCATAACTTCGTATTTTTGTTAAAATAATTGACAGTTGGCAACACCGCTGTAGACACGATCAATTTTATTGGTCAACAGACACGCAGCCAATTTAAACTCTTGCTTCTCGAATTTTTCTTTTTCTGCAAATATAAAAATTTCAATTCAAGTGATTTCGTCAAATAATTTTTGAAATTTCGAGCTCGAAGAAGTGAGAAGTTGTAAGGATGAGCTGCAGGGTTAACTGAATTTCGGATTTTTTGTAGTTTTATTTCTTTCCAAGTCATGGGTACAAATTACACCTTAAAAAGTATAACCACTGCAAAGCTCGATTCAAATCAAAGACTGATAGTGAATGGATACTTACAATCAGGGCTTTCTGATATGAAGATATCAATTTTATTATGTTTGTGCAAGCAATCTCGATAAAAATACAAAAATGCTTGGGAGGAAAAACGTAAAAGTTGCTGACCCGTCAAAGTTTGGATATTTTTTTATCTTTATTGTGGGGGGCCCTCTCCTGTGGAGGTACTTGGGCAGTAGCCCTGCCTGTCCTCCTCTGAATCCGTCCCTGGCGATAAATGCTCCTTCCCATCAGCAATAAAGCTGAGAACCAAGTGTAATTATTCTTGAATCATATGACTCGGGACCTATTCAAATTGAACCCATGGAATGGAATATGAATATGACTAAATATTAAAAATTTGCATAAATGCTTGTACAGAAATTCACAGGTTGTTTATATTATGATAATGGTTAGACCTTGAATCTATGGACATAACTCAAATATGTGAATCAAATGAAATTCATCAATACAATGAATAGATCCACATAACCTCACAAAAATAAGACAACAATCCTTCAATTCAAACTCCACCTTTATTAACAACAGTTTATATCTGATATCCAGAAATCTCAAGATGCTAATTGAAACTTATTCAGTTAATAGACATTTTTAATTCAAATAGAAACATTTTCACGCGAATAGTTTATCTGTCAGCTGTCATTTTCTTTCAATCAACATAATTGTTTTGTGTTCACGATGAAGAACGCATATTGAATGAATACGGTTTTTGGGCTAGTCTAAAAGATACCAGGAAAAATTATTCAGCATGTTCAATTCGTAGACATAAATAGCGTTTCTTTATAGGATAATAAAATAATATTACCAATGTTGCCCCCACTTCCACACAACTTATCAAATTGTGAGCAAGTACAGGAAAATAAATGAAATTGAATTGCTCGGTTCACGGTGGTCTAAACACGAACAGTAGACATTTTTGAAAGGGTAGAAATGTATTATTCAAGGTATTTATAACTGAAACCAATGTAACTGAAAATAGTTATGTTCTGTGATTTCATGATTTATCCGATTTTAATAAAGTTCTATTGAAATGAATTGAAATAATTATTTCAAATTCTATGCGGCACTCATTCAATTTTTAGAAATTCGAACAAGTAAGGTCCGTCTTGAAATATAGAACTGGAACCTCTCTCGTATCATAAATCCGAGAAAATATCGTTCCCACACATCAAAATTGCAAATTACTTCTTGAGGCGTCAATAGGAGAAAAACTAAACTGAATTATTCGATTGCCAAAACGTGAATCTCTCCATCCCTTTTTAGTTGTTGGAATCAGTGCTCTCTCTTTAATGACCTGTCCATATTATGACGTTACTGGCTTTTTATTATTGACTGCAGTTGTCAAAAAATATTTTTTATTCCGTTATTTTATTATTGTTCTGATATCATTGCTCATAGTCACTTTCAGGCCGTCACTATGTCATACGATTAACAAACGATGGAAAATGATTCGAATCAGGAAGAAATCTCAAAAGATAACGTAGAACTAGAGGAAACCAAAACAAAACGATGTAGATTACCTCGCGGACAAATCCAGGCGTCCAAGCGACTCTGTGCCAAAGAAGAGAGAAATGCCTGTGTCAAAAAGGTAAAAGCTCCCTGTTGAATCTCCCTCAACAACTCTAATTTCGTTATTCTTCAGGTGTCCTCAATACTCCAAAAGATCGAAGGCGACAGAACTTTGGAAGATAATAAGGTGTTGCGAGAGTGCGGAGATGTTGTTGACGACGTACTGGGACGTTGGAAGAGGAGGGAGGAAGCTAAACGAAGACTGGAAGAGTTGGAAGATCCGGCTGACGTTTTGAAAGAAAAATGCCATATTCTTGCCCAGGCGATAGCTCAGTCGCAACACCTAGTCGTGTACACAGGGGCAGGCATCAGCACCTCGGCAAAGATACCTGACTACAGAGGTTCTAATGGTATTTGGACAAGATTACAACAAGGAAAAGAAATTGGGTATGGAGTTTACTCAAATTGACATTGAATGAATTAATTGTGTAATTATTTCTTCTAGGAACCACGATTTGACCCTAGCAGAACCTACCTTCACCCACATGGCCCTGTCTGAGCTCTACCGGCGAAACATTCTGAAATATGTTGTGTCTCAGAACTGCGACGGGCTGCACCTCCGTTCGGGTCTACCGAAAACAGCCCTGTCGGAACTCCACGGCAACATGTACATAGAGGTGTGCAAGCACTGCAAACCACACCGGGAATATTGGCGGCTTTTCGACGTGACGGAACACACCGCCAGGTACGCTCACAAAACTTTCAGGAAATGTTACAAGTGCAACGAGCCCTTGGTGGATTCCATAGTTCATTTCGGTGAAAGGGGCAAGCTGCAGTGGCCTTTGAATTGGTCGGGGGCTTGCAAGAATGCGGCGAAGGCCACTACCATTCTGTGTCTGGGGTCCAGTCTCAAGGTCTTGAAGAGGTGAGTTTTGTCGACAACAGATTAGAATAGAAATTGATTCGTCTTTGAAAATTCTACAGATGTGTTACATACAAATACAGAATTCTATCGGAATAGTCATGATACAGATTTGAAATGTACCTGAGTATTGAATAATGTACATATATCATTTTCAAATATTGAATTTTCACCCTTTTACTGTGAAATTACCTTTTCATCATATTGCATTTCACATTTTATGTCTTGTTTACTNTGAAAATAAATATCCATTTTTCAGGAAAATAGTTATGATACAGATATAAAGTGTATAAATACAACAAAAGTGTGCAGATTAAATATGAGGTGAAAATAAATATCCATTTTTCAGGAAAATAGTCACAATACAGATATAAAATGTATTGATGAAACATAAAAGTGTGCAGATTAAATACTAAGTTGAAATAAAAATACAATTATCAGGAATGTAGACAAGACAGATATAAATTTTTCAGGAAAATAGTCATGATCAGATATAAAATGTATAAATAAAACATGAAAGTGTGCAGATTAAATGTAGCATAAATAAAAATCTGTTTTTCAGGAAAATAGTCATGATACAAAATTTAAATGTATAGATAAAATATAAAAGTGTGCAGATTGAATAATAAGTCAAGATAAAATCCATTTATCAGGAAAATACTCATGATACAGATATTAAATGTATAGATATAGCATGAAAGTGTGTAGATTAAATATAAAGTAAAAAGAAAAATCAATTTTTCAGGAAAATAGTCATGATCAGATATAAAATGTGAAAACGAAACATAAAAGTGTACAGATTTATTATTAATTTGAAATAAAAATCCAATTATTTTCAGTGCTCTGATTGAAACCTATATTTTCATCTACCAGGTACCCGCGGCTGTGGCAGATGGACAAGCCGGCGAAAAAACGACCAAACTTGTACATAATCAATCTCCAGTGGACGCCAAAAGACGATTTCGCCAACGTCAAAGTTAACGGTAAGTGCGACGAAGTCATGAAAACGGTCATGGACATCCTGGGAATCGACGTACCCAAGTACGACAGGCAGAGGGACCCCATATACGTTCACGCGTCTCCTCTGCATCAAGAAGAACTGCACACCACGACGCAGCCCTTCCTGAAGAAGGAAAAACTCGAAACAGAGCCCTTAGTACAAAGTGATTTAGTAAACAAAGACTGTACAGGTGACAGGAAACCCGATCTCGCTAATAAATTAATTTCAGGTGACTGTGATAAACGTAGCAATAAGTGTAGGAGTCTTCCGGATCTCTCGGTCGCAAGAGAAGGTGATTCCGATGCCGCTGGTGTTCGACCACAGCTGGACAACGGGGGCGACTATTTCCTCGGTCCCAAGCTCTTCGATTATACTTTGTTCCAGGACGCTTGCCAGGAATTTTTCCACTACCCGTACCAGACCAGTTTTCTGTATTCGGGTCTGCACAGCATCATCAAACCACTGCCAGTTTACGACGAACTCTTCTTCGACTGCGACGCCAACGAAAACTCTTGCGAGTTTTGCATGAAGAGCTTCGTTTCTTCCACGTGCTTGTTTTACTCCAGGTCGGAACCGGTGTTCCTCAAGAAGCAGTCGAGGTACAGCAAGACGGAGCAGCGGACGAAGGAGCTTGTCTGTTTGTGCTGTGACTACTCCACGGACGAGGATGATTCCGAAGTCGGCGACAGAGATCAAAGCAAGGGCAAGATCCAGGCTGGGTGGTTCGGGAAGGGGTATCGCAAGGGGAAAAGGACGAAACGGAGGAGCGTTTAGGTTGGTGGCGAGTCGTTTCGAGAGTTGTTCGTTTGATGGCCGATAGATGGCGTTACTAGTTGTCGTGGTCTCGATGGATTGTGGGGGATAGTCGTCTGATGTCTGTTAGCAGCGCTTTATAATGAGGGGTGGGAATATTGAAGTAGTCACGAATATAGTTTCAAGGTGAAGAATTTGGTTATGTTGATTTCAATTTTTTCGGTGTCTTTTTTTTAAACATTCATGATCATACCGGGATATTATTCGCTCCCGACTGCTCATAACAAAAAGGTTCACTTGTGGGAAGGACGAAATTTGTCAAAAGTAAAAGCAATAAAAATGAAAATTTCCACGATTCTTCAAGATGAACCCAAATGATTAATGTCAAGACAAACAAATCTTGTTTTTGTCTGAAATTTGTTTGAACTAATTTCATTTTTACTCATCCCTCTGTAACTTTGTCGATTTTGGAAGATTGCAGGTTCATAGGACATTTCAATTTGATAAGACTAGCATAAACTAAATTTCAGAAACTCAGTAGAAAGCTAACTCCTGCTTCATACCAAAAGAAGATTGAAGATTAACGTCGTAATTTTGAGTTTAAACTCGAAATTTCGAGATTTTAGTTGAAATTTCAAATTTAAAGTCATAATTTCCAGTTTAAAATCGCAATTTCCAGTTTTTAGTCGTAATTTCCAGTTTAAAGTCGTGATTTCGAGTTCGTGAAGTTCTAATTGAAGATTAACGTAATTTTGAGTTTAAACTCGAAATTTCGAGATTATAGTTGAAGTTTCAAGTTTAAAGTCATAATTTCCAGTTTAAAGTCATAATTTCCAGTTGAAAGTCGTAATTTCCTGTTTAAATTCGTAATTTCCAGTTTAAAGTTGTAATTTCAATTTCGTGAAGTCCTAATTGAAGATCAACGTCGTAATTTTGAGTTTAAACCCAAAATTTCGAGATTATAGTTGAAATTTCAAGTTTAAAGTCATAATTTCCAGTTTAAAGTCGTAATTTTCAGTTTAAAGTCGTGATTTCGAGTTCGTGAAGTCCTAATTGAAGATCAACGTCGTAATTTTGAGTTTAAACCCAAAATTTCGAGATTATAGTTGAAATTTCAAGTTTAAAGTCATAATTTCCAGTTTAAAGTCGTAATTTTCAGTTTAAAGTCGTGATTTCGAGTTCGTGAAGTCCTAATTGAAGATCAACGTCGTAATTTTGAGTTTAAACTCGAAATTCGGAGATTATAGTTGAAATTTCAAGTTTAAAGTCGTAATTTCCAGTTTAAAGTCGTAATTTCGAGTTCGCGAAGTCCTAATTGAAGATTAACGTCGTAATCTTGAGTTTAAACTGGAAATTTCAAGTTTAAAGTGGTAATTTTGAGTTTAAAGTCGTAATTTAGAGTTTGAAGTGTCATTACCAATTAAAAGTCTTAATTTAGAGTTAAGCAATTTTGAGTTCAAACATGAAATGAATTGTAATTTCGATTTTGAAATCCTGATTTCTAGTTTGAAGTCATAATTTAGAATTTGTGAAGTCCTAATTTTGAGTTGAAACGCTTATATTGAAAATTAACGTCATAATTTTAAGTTTGAACACGAAATAAGTCGTAATTTGAAGTTTGAAGTCGTAATTTCGAGTTTAAAGTCCTAATTTATAGTTTGTGAAGTCCTAATTTTGAGTTGAAACCCGTAAATTGAAGATTAGCGTCGTAATTTTGAGTTCAAACTCGAAATTTCGAGATTATAGTTGAAATTTCAAGTTTAAAGTCGTAATTTCGAGTTTAAAGACGTAATTTTGAGTTAAAAGTTGTTATTTTGAGTTTGAAGTCGTACTTTTGAGTTAAAAGTCGTTAATTTTGAGTTAGAAGTCGTAATTTCGAGTTTAAATACGTAGTTTTGAGTTTAACGTCGTAATTTCGAGTTTAAAGTCGTAATTTTGAGTTAAAAGTTGTAATTTTGAGTTTGAAGTCGTAATTTCGAGTTTAAAGTCGAAATTTTGAGTTTGAAAACGAAATTTCTGGTTTTAAGTCGGAATTTCGAGTACATAGTCATAATAATAAAAACGTGTGGCCCTTCTGTGCTTTCCTAATTATTTCTTTAACTTTTCATTTTACTAAATTTTATCGTTAATATTTTACTTATTTTTATAACATCCATCTAACCTATATTGTTAATTTATTACCAATTCAGATCCCAATAATTTTCCTTCTCTACAATTTAGCATACTCATATCTTTATGAGTTATTCTGTTAATTATTATGTCCCAGATTGAATCTGCAAGTTTCTGAAATTGTTAATTGGATTTGTTATCATTGTCTTGATTTTTTGTTCTGCAATTGTCATCTAAACCCTTATTTAATTACAGCAAACTCTAATTGTTGGAAATCTCTCGAATAACTTTTAATTTATATATTATCCAACAATGTGTAGTTCTTGTTTAATTAGATTGGTTTCGAAAGGTAATGTTGAGCGACTAGATTTCGACGACCAGCCTAGGTCAATTTTTTGTGTCGGACAGATACTTTATTGTATTTCGTCATTTTAAATTTCATGCAGTATTAACTTTATACATTTTTTTTTACATTATTTTGCTGACTGTGCAGTATGTTGAACTTTTTATATTTATTTTTTATACTGTAGTACAAATAAATGTGTGTGTTGTAATGTATGTTATTTCCCTGCTCGCTAATCCCTTAGTAGCAAAAGCTACGACCTTAGCATTAATAATAATAATATTTATTTGTTCTCTGTGATTGTACTCATTCATATGTGGAATAAACTTCCTGAGATTCAAATCCAACGTGAATCGCTAGTTTAGCACAGGCACCGCTCTTAGAGAGCTTTGAGGATATTCTGTAGTGCTTGTGATTTTTTCCTAAAAAAGATATGAAGAGAATGTCGATAATATAATCTAAAAAAAACTATAGATGTAACAAATAAAACGGTTGAGTAAAGCAGTCAAATAAATTGATTCAATTCAACATGATGATTAACTGATCCACAAGTGGGGACTTTGTTGACATCATTGTTGAGGCAATGAAGACGTTGATTTTTTTACATTACAATATTTTAAGTACTCGACAAGAATAATAGGTTTCTTCAGTTAAACTTTTTTTATGTACTGTTTGAATGGGTCAACAATTTGTTAAATAATTTGATAGCCATATAAAAGGTACCTGATTCGGACCTGGTAAGTCTCAGAATTGGTATTTCCGGTGTGGTTGAATTTCTTATAATAAGTAATTGTTTTACTGATTTCACAAAATCGGCAGCTACTAAATACAAGATTAAGTTGAGATTTTCAAGACTGTAAATAGCCCTATACAGCTTGTAAGTCTACTTGCTGTCAAAAGATGATTGGCAAATGTGCAATTGGTCTCCACATTAAAAAACTACTCTGTTTCTTGTATTTCTAAAAACTAACAAACATACAACGCATAAATCTACAGACTATTTATTTTTTATACTGTAATACAGATTTACAAAAGCTACGGCCTTAGCATTAATAATAACGATCGATTTTCACTTGCTATCGTCCAACCTGTGTTAAGAATCACACGTTAAAAGGTAAGACCTCGTTAGTCCTTAGCTCTCACAAGTTTCGACTTCTGAAGGTTGTCGTTCGTAGGGTTGCGACAGATGGTTAACGAAAAAACAGATTTTAATAATATTTATTCGTTTTCTATGATCGTACTCGTACCTACGTACTGCGTTTATGTGGAATAAACTTGCTGTAGTTTATAAAGAATAGCAGTGCAGTTGGTCCGTTTGAACGCCCATTTTCCAGGCAGCACTATGCACAAATTTATCTTGAACCTTTTCCAGTGACGTGAACAATACAGAATTTTCATTGTGCTTTAGCGACCCTACCTACATATCCAAGAAGTTTAAGTGATTTCAAGGTTATTTTATTGATTCAAGTGCAGAGTTTATGCAGTATTCAAATGTGATTTAGTGCCTGAGAACTATTGAAATACATGACATTTGTCAATATTCAGTTCCAAGCAGTTATTTCTACACCGATTGGTTAACATCATCTTGAAGTTTCAGACAATCAACATACGATTCAATCACACAATCATCAGCAAATAACAATCCCTCAGTTAGTAATGTGTGCAATAAGATCGTCAACAAAGATATTGAAGAGTAATGGTCCACAGTGACTACCTTGGAGAACACCAGAACAGGCTTCAATTGTACTGATGATATTCAAGTGACTTGAGACACGTAATCAGAAAATATTCAGAAATAGTGGTTCAACTTCTCGACCATCAATATACAAAGACATAATAATAATAAATGTCATTTATTAGTGAATACCAAAGGGCCATCGACCGAAGTCCTTCATCCAGTGTACAATTTTTAAATATTTGCAGTGATTTTTACATATGCTTACATAATAGATTTGACGTACATTATATTTCTGAGTGATTTGATGTTTTCCGGGTATCTGAATTTGGATGGTTGTCCTTCAGCTTATACTATATTAAAAATGATTGGGTGATGTGTTCGATGAAAGCGAAGAATTTGGCATTTGGATGCCATGGATTTCATGGAAACAGCTGAGTAGATCGTTGATAAAAAGGTTGAACAACAGTGGTCCCAAATGTGAACCTTGTGGAACACCCGATGTAACTGCGATGGTATGAGAATGATAATGATTAACTCTAACAATTTGTGTTCTTTCCGTAAGATAGCTCTTGAGCCACTGCAATGTTTGCCCATCAACACCATATAAACAAAGTTTATGGATCAATAGCTCATGATTAACTTTGTCAAAAGCTTCGGAGAAATCAGTGTACACAGAGTCAACTTGCAAACCCTTAGACGGAGCGTCAGACAGAAAATCAACGTAGGTAATTAGACCCAGTTCAGCTGACTTTTTGGATGTAAATCCGAATTGTTTGGTCCCTATAATTGGGGAGCAGCCATAAGTAAGGTAATCAAAAATGATGCTCTCAAAAACTTTAGGGATTGCGCTAAGAATAGAAATTGGACGATAATTACACAGGTCGGATTTTCGACATGATTTATATATTGGGGTGACATATGAGGATTTCCAATAGTCCGGGAATTTTCCAGATGATAGGGAATTATTAAATAGGTATATAGAAAAGTGGCCGAGCTAAAATGATTTAAGAAAAGTTGGAGGAATTTCATCAGGACCGGGGCCATTGTTGATATTAAGTTCGGACAGTTTTTCTTAAATTTTAGAGATTTCAATATGATAATTGGACACATTAACCCTGGATGTAATACTGGTATCATTCCTGGGGCTGTATTTTTTCCCTCACTGATGATATATAGTATAAATCTTCATCTATTTCTTGAACATTTGCAAAGACTTAATTTTATGAAAAATGCCACTTTTGTTGATGTCGACTATCTGAAGTTATACTGGTGGATTTTGTATAGAATTTGTAAAGATGAGCAACATGTTGCCAAATTTTTCACAGACAAGTTTGCTCGCTGTCAAAAAAAAATGATTCTCAACTTCTTGAGAGTCATATCTATGAAATTTCACTTCATGGGTATAAATGGTGGTATGAATAAAAAACATAAAATGCGATAAACCATTTAAACAAAACTAAAAAATTCTACAGAATGGATCAAACAAATGCACTAGGTCATCAGCAAGTCCTTTATTACAGTGTCAGTCGTAACGTCAGTCGGACTGTTCCCATCATCATCGAGCACTCTGGAATCAGCCCCCTTACTCAACAAGTACTCCACACAGCTGACGTGCCCGCAGCTACAGGCATAGTGCAAGGCAGTCTGCCCCTCAACGTCCCTCACTCCCAAGTCAGCCCCGGCTTCCACCAAAACCTTGATCATATCCAAGTTGCCCCTATCAGTAGCCCAGTGGAGCAGAGCCAAGCCGTCTCCGTCCAGATCATTCATTTTGCTGCGTTCACTCTTCAGGAGCTTTTCAACTTCTGCGACTTCCCCGCTTTTGACATAATCCGTGAGGGTCATGTCGGAGGAAGGGATATTTTCCGCGGGCATGGAAGAAACTTTCACCCAGTGGTCTTTGGGGTCCTCAGACAGGTCTGCTTCGAAACTAGGATCGAGGGCTTTGATTTTCTCAACGTAGAACGTCTTCGCCTCCTTTGAGGGCATGTCTCCTAGCTTGTGCCAGGCCTCCCACTTTGCTTTGGAGCGAATGTCGTACCAGGAGGGCTTGGGGGTGTTGCAAGGCCCCTCTGTGCCTTGCTTGTAGTATCCGTACAAGGTGAGGAGCGTCTGGTTATCCACGTTCGGTAATATCTTCTGCAGATGATCAGCTGCCTTCGAGAAACTAATCGATAAAGGATCGTTACTGTCACTGACGTTAATGCCTAGTTCTCGAAGATCACTAAAATTATCTACGAAACTAGCCATGGTTCTGAGCTTGCACTATTCGTTGCTGGTGTGAGCGGTATTGGTCGGTTCCACCTTCAACGAGTTCCCTTCTAGTTGGTGCGAAGGCGCATTGGTTGCATTTTCGAACCCTTCCCTGTTGCTGAACGAGACGAAACCGTAGTTCTTCGACAACCCTGTTTTCTTGTCAAACACAACCTTCGACTGGTACACGTGTCCGAACTTGCTGAAATACTGCTTCAATTCGAGGTTGCTAATCGTCCAAGGAATGTTAGCGACATACAACTTGTACAAGTTCCTAATGCTATTCGTCGCCATCACTCGATCTACTTCCTAGAGATTTCCAGCAGGTGGATGCTGTGGTCGCCTACAAGATCTTGGATGTTCAAGCCGACGCTGGAGCCCAAGTTGGAGATATTGTGCACGACGCACTCCAAATCCCACTTTGCGAGGAGGTGCTCAATCGACCAGTCGGAACTGCGATCCTGGTAGGTGCAGAAGAACTTGGCGTCCGCGTTCGGTTCCAGCAGATAAGACACTGTAACGAGGATCTCTTCGAAAGTCGAAGGTTCAAAGAAACAGTCTGAGCCTAGGATGAAGTCTAGAGGGCCGATAGAGTCCAAGTCGTTCAGAAACAACCCCCACGTTAGGCCTATTACCTTCACGTGCTGGTTGAGGACGAGGTTGTTGAGTTGACAACTGCGTCGGGTGTGTGCCAGAGACTTTGGTAGCGTCGCTGATTCGCTAAGGACCACTTTTGCGCCGCACTTTGCTGCTACTATTCCAGGTAAGGCGGTGCCGCAACCCAATTCCAGAACGTTTTTGTTGACGAGCTCTTGGCGGTTCTCCCACAAAAACCACGCCAAAACTGGAGATGAAGGCCAGGTGTAAAACGAGTAGCTGGCTTGTAATAACTGTGAAAAAGCAAGGTTAATCTATTGTATTTTGGGAGTTTAAAAATTAAATACCTCGGGAATAACGACCTCTAACTTTTCTTCACGGATTTCTCCTCGCACGGAATATTTTGAAGAAAATACAAATTTCTTCAATTGCTCCGATGATCCGCTTGACATTACACAGAACACGAGCACACCGCGTGCATGTGCATTAACTTTTCTCAAGGTTAAATACGTTCCACAAAAAAATAACCAATAGGGAACTCGCATATATCTCGGAAAATTTTGATTTTACAAGAAACAGGCTGTGAAAAGTATTTGAAATCAAAAATAAAATGTTAGTTCCTTCATAATACAAAATTGAACATTTCGAACGCTCCAAAAAACGTACCCAGTACCCATGGCGTTATTCGGTAAAGAAATAGATTATTACTTCCTTTAGTTTCAACTTTCCACAGAGAGGGCGCTTCAATTGTTAAAATTCAAGGATTTTTTTCATTATTATTGTTAATCAGAAAGTAGAACTTTGGAGTAATGATAATGCATCAGTTCTGGATCCGATTGTATTATTACTGGTAGTCAATTATGATCACAGTCGAGATTTTCTGAATCTACCTAAGATAACAAGAGTGAATAATTTGCTGGCCAGAAAAAGGTCTCCCAAATATGACATTACAATCCAAATTTGACGTTCAGATTAAAAAATGTTCATGGATTTTACTGGATACTAATGCCACCAAACATGCAATCTACTCTTATATGGGATTGTTTACCTTCGTGATACAAAAAAAAATGCTGACCGAGGCCTTCTCTTCTGATCAAACATCATATTTGTATTATCTGTTCTAAGTTATTATTGCCACCAAAGAGAAACAATTAATCTACTCCTTTCGAAAGATAGTTTGCTGACTTTTGCCTCCCTATCGGATCCCCTTTGGGGGTAATTTACTCGTGTAGTTCTGGCGTACATTTTTTGTCAAACCATTTCCCCTCGTGTTATATTCTTATTATTAATCAGACAATGCATTTGAATAAACTACTTTAATGTTGTAAAACAAGATCCATCATCTTGATACCACTACTCGTGTGTTCGTTGTCAACCACCGTCTGTTCGTTGTTCCTCAACCTAGGTATGTTCGTTGTCATAGTTTTCATAACACCTCATATTTTCTACAGCCTAACCTAACCTTCAAAAAAGAGTAGATGCAACTTTTCTCATTCAGTAGGCCAGCAAAGTATTTCCTCTCTAAGATAACCGATATAGTCAAACATGGTCGGTGACTAGTGCTTTTTTTCTACAGGGTGGTTCATAAAATAACCATGAGTAGCGCTTTTAAGGACAAATCGAGTTCAAATTATAGGGCTATTTTCAAATTTAAATATTCCAAAGAGTTCAGAGAAAATTCTCCCGCTTTTAAACACCCCAATATAATAATAATGATGGGGAATGGGAAGAAAGACCAAATGATTAAAAACATTTTCTATATTGTATCAGACATAATAGCATGGTATAAGCAATGAGAGACTTACATGAACATTTTCATATTATGTTCAACTAAAATGCTGCCCAGCCAAATAAAATACAAAACATACTATTACTCAGAATCACATAAAGAGAACTGATATAATCTGCTGTTAACAAGATGGTTGTATACAGGTGGTTCAAGTTTTCCTCCCTTTATCAGTATCCCATCATGTTAACTGTATTGGTGGTTCTAATTGGCTGGACATCACATTCAAATGTAATAATTACTGCTTCTCAATCTCATCAACTCGATTCTTATGGCGGGCAATGGCCTCTTGGTGTCTCTTGATTTGTTCTTCGTGGAAACTAATCTCGTCCTTCAAATCCCCTTTTAGTTTCTGCAACTGTTCCTTTTGCTGAAAACAAATAAATGAATTTGTCAGGCAAATGCAAATGTGTGAGGCGAAATGGCAGACTATACAGTGCACAAAATTTGTGTAAAAAGCTATCAGTTATAGTAGTGTTTCTGTGTATGAGCTCTGGGAAAAATTGCGGTTATTTAACATATACTTCAGATTTCACGAATCCCCACATAAATATCCAAGGGTGTCATATCAGGTGATCTTGTCAGCCATTCCGAGTGACCACTTTTGCCTATCTACCGATTTGGAAAATTGTCATCTAGCTACTTTCAACCCGCCTTTGGTAGTGGGGAGGTACCTCGTTTTGTTGAAACTTAACAACAGTTGAAAACTCATTTGAATTTGTCAACCATCCAAACTGGTTAGCCAGACACAATCCTTTGGAATAGCCCACTGAACCACCTGATATGACACCTCTAGAAGATGTATAAGTGGGTGTAAGGCATTTATCAATTTTCAATATTATGGGCCTTATTGAAAACCGATATATTTTGACTGGACTAATATAGTATTTTTAACCTGTTTGTAGAAATATTCTTCCTCTCTAGCCGCTTCTTGCTTCCCAAAAGCTCCACCGGCTTCCCTAATACTCCCACCGCCGCCACCTCCCTTGCCGGCTCCGCTTCCCAGATCGCCTAATTGTGACATTAAACGAAAATGTCTAGAAAAAAAAATTATGTAACGTCGCAATTAGATCTTGCACCTACTAAATGAAAATCGCTCAGAAGGCTACTATACTCACTTAAGTACATTGAATCTAAGTATTTTTGTACTTGTATTCATTATAATAAATAGTAATACAATTGTGAATCTGGATTTAGCAAAAAATGAACGTCCTTCAGACACAGATAACCTCAAATCTCAAATGTCAAATATCGAAATTTGTGAGTTGTCGGAGGTCTGGGTTGGGCTCGCACTGTTGCCAGTTGAATCAACAATAAAAAACTTATGAAATATTAGTTTTCTTGATGAAAGCAAAAGCCAAGCCATATGTTACACTATTTTCTTCGAAATATTTAAATCTGATAACCTGCAATTTGAATTCGATTTGACCTGGAATGTTCAACTAAAATAAGCATCTAGAACTGAAACACTCGATGCGAGTTTCACCAGTCAAATTGGCATCTTCAGGAGATGGTGTCTTGTCAGGAGATGAGTCTTTGAGTCTATTCCATCTGCTGATGACATCAACTTGATTGAGGAAATGCACATTGAGAAGAATAATGCAGTGCCTGTTTTCGATGAATTTTTTCCCAGAGATTTCAGTTTTATCTTTCGCTTGAATTATGAATGTGAATAGCTTCACTAAAACATCAGCTTGTACCACTCGTGATTATTTTATGAACATTCAGAAAACCCGACCGCAGCCATAATTGATAATCGATAATGAATCAATAATAATGGAAAAATACTTTAAAATTTATATTTTCTGATTACCAATAATGATAGAAAGAAACTTTGCAGATCATCGGATACCTAAACTTTGACATCTGAAACGCCCTCTCTGTGGAAAATGAGAACTGAAGGAAATAATGATCCATTTGTTCACCAGATGGAGTATCTTGGGAGTTTGAAAAATTTGACATTTTTGAAGAAAATTAAAGTTTATTAGTAATTCTAAGCAGTTTCCACAGCTTCTTTCTGAGTTTATATACGCATTTCAAAACTAAATTACATATGCGTTTCCTATCAAAATCCATCGCTTGAAATAGTTATCGCAAAATGTGTTGAAGTGCAGTGCTTCGAGATGAAATTTTCAAGTAAAGTTATTTTCAAGCGAATAGATTAAACTACCATTTCTTTTTCCATTTGTCAGCAACTGAGGGAGTGACTTCAAAATGTATTTTTTTAAATATGTACTGAACTGTTTCTTCTGTTCCTGAAAGCTAACAATTTATTTTAAAAAACAATAATAGATGTCGCGTCGCACCAAACGTCATTCACCAATATAACATGACAAAGATGAAGGAAAAGCAGAGAAGGAATGCTTTGTCTCTGCTTTTTCAGCAGATTTCAGTCTGATATTCACGTCATTCCTCAATCCTTCAGCTTTCAGTCAGTGTTTGGAGTTTTGACGGGATTTCGTTTCATGTTCTTCGCGGAGAATAGTAGAACTTTTGACAAGAGAACATGGAGCGTCGTGTAGTTATTAATGTAGTGGTTTTACTCAGGAGTTTTATACAATATTAAATTGTTTTTCTTATGATCTTGTGTCTAAACTCTCGACAATAATGCCCGTGAACAACGTAAATTTGGATATTTTTGCTAAAGCCTGAAAAAAAGAGGTGAGCGATATGTTTCCATTGTTCTTGATTGATGTCGAACTCGAAGAGCATTTTTACGAAGGTCCAATGAATACGAGCCGCTGTCGATATCTCAGATATCTTTCAAAATATGAATTAGCCATGTCCCCCCCACTACTGCCGTTTTGCACAATCATATCACTCGTAAACAATCTCCAAAACGAATGGGCTAAACGGTTGAAAATACATGCAAAATCGGGACCAATTCCACTTGTTTGTAATGAGGAGCTTACTCAGTCGTATCAAGAATTTTTTCTTATATCCTCTGCCGTGTATTCAGTTCAACGATTCTTCATTTTGCATCCGGTTTTGTTTGGAATTCGGTTTTGAAGTTGTTAACAATATTCTATTAAGTATTCAAGTACGTTCACATGCCTTATTTTCTAGGTGATTTTTTGATAAAAAGACCAGTGTACAGTCAATTTCACACAGGTACATAATTTCATTGTTTTTGCTAGGATATCAATAATGGGTACATTGAGTGTTTGGGACCTATAATTATTTGATAAAATAAAGGTTTTAATGTTCAGGTTGTTATCTTTTAAAGCCAATTGGGCCAGCAGAATGTTCAGACCATAAATAAACTTTCCTAACTAGGTTATTTGGTTAATTTTTTTAAATACAAATAAATGTATATACATAAGTAATATATCAGTAGGAGTTACACTAAAGAATACTATAAATATGGCATAATCAACCTAAAGAAGAGGTGGCTTATAATTTTCGAGAGAAAAAAGTTTTGGCTTCTCTATCTCTATGAAAAAGAATTTTGGAATCTTCCAAAGAAAGGAAGAAAGTAATCAATTGAAAAATAAACTCTACAATGATTGTTAATCATACAAAAAACTAACTTTCAGATACAAACAACTACTTTCATATAAACATATAATTTATTGTATTTGTTGAGACCCTTATGTAGTAAAATCTTCATATAGTTAGACAGGTTACATTTTGTCTTTCGACATGCGCTTCGCTAACCAATTTACCATCATCAGGAGATGACTCAGTCTCAGCATCATCAGGAATTGACTCAGTCTCGGCTTATTCAGGTGATGGCTCAGTCTCGTCATAAATCAGGAGACGACTCAGTCTCAGCATAATCAGGAGACGACTCAACCTCACTATAATCAGGAGATGTCTCGGTATCAATCAGGAGACGACTCAGCCTCAGCATAATCAGGAGACGACTCAGCAAGAGATGACTGAGGGATCCAGTCTCATCATCATCAGAAGATGACTCAGATTCAGTATTATCAGGAGACCGAGTCATCTCCTGATGCTAATTTAGTTAGCGAAACGTGTGTCAAGAGACAGTTTGTTTGTTCTGGTGTTTTTTATACAGAAATATTTGTTTTCAAGCTCAAATAATGGATGGACAACGCGCCATGGAACTGATGCCACTTCTTCAAGAACGACTGGTTATTCTAACAGGAGGCCGTGACCGTCGAGGGGGCCCAGTGCTGTCTTTCCCAGCCAACCCACGTAGAGAACGTGCCAAGCCTGAGGACTACAGGCGGCTTCTGCAGTACCTCATGTCTTTACCAAAGTAAGTTCTGCCGTTATTACAAGTTTGGACAACCCTGGGAGCAGGTGCAAACATATTAACAGCAAGCCAAATCTGTCTAATCTGTCGGCCACTTAATGAATGCTCGCACTCACTGTTTCTCAGTATCAAACAAAGGGCCTTGAAAACAATTAAAGTATCTGAAACAACGACTATAAGGAAAATATCAAGATTGAGGCATCCCAATATCCCCAAACACAACCCTCCAAACCCTCTGCTGTACTGAGTCACTGGTATTATCCCTTTTGAGAAAAGACTACCGTCACTTACTCAGAAGTTTGCTAGAAAAGACGACAATGTAGAAATCCTTAGAAAGTATGCTGTGACAAGAAACCCCTATGCAAGAGTACGACATCGACACCCAACAGAAACACTGTTAGAAAAATTAACACAACCTTATCAATGAAATTGTTTTCTTTGTTCAATTTTATATCCATATAACATTTTTCTTTGATATTGTAGAATGAGCATTATATGATATTCAGTGGAGAGTGACACTGGAATTTTGAATGAAGTTATTTTAGTGGTTTAAATTCAATCCTTCCCCAGACAAACAATTGGGCAAAACCGTCATATTTATCAAGGTATAAGGTGTTATAATCGCTTTAAAAAACTGTTTGGTGCATCTCACAAATTGTCAAATGAAAATTACTTCAAGAATGCTCCTCATAAATACTTTGTAGATTTTCATCACTGTTTCTCTCGTACGGCCTCGTTTAAACTCTGCTACCCAATATTTTACTATTGTAAACAAAGGAGCAGACTCACCCAGAGTAGAATCCAGTTCAGCTTTTTTATTGAGGCCTTTCAAATAAAAATATTGTGCCATATAACGATGAGCAATTCACCGAAATCGTTCGCAATTGATGGTTGCCAAACAAAAACTAAACAACGCAGCGTCTTCAAACTTGAAACATGCTCTATAGATTGTGTACTTTCTAAAACAACGAAGCTGGGTTTCTATGGATCTTTTACCCTGTGTTTTGAGTACGCATCTGATACTGTCAGATGGCAACAATATGAATATTATCATTGAATTTATGTAAGTTGTTATGTATGACTAAAGGTTCTGGAATAACATTTTTTCAGGCTAATACTTTTTAGAGTTTTGTTGATGGGGGAGCACATTCTCTCAAATGAGTTGATTTTGTAGACCCTGCTTCGACCTAGCTTCAGACATAGTTCAACCCTCCCTACTTTTTAACATAAATTTGTAGCATATACCAAAATGTAAAGGTTTCCAACTCAACTTATCTTACGGAAAGAACACAAATTGTTAGAGTCAATCATTACTATTCTCATACCGTCGCAGTTACAACGGGTGTTCCACAAGGTTCACATTTGGGGCCACTGTTGTTTAACCTTTTTATCAACGATCTTAATCAGCTGTTTCCATGAAAGCAAAGCTTTGCTATTGGCCGACGATTTGAAATGTTTCAAAATAATTGAAAGTGAAGCTGATACATTGTGTCTACAAAACGATATAGATTGCCTTTCTAACTGGTGTTCGCAAAGTGGTATGTGTTTGAATGCTGCCAAATTCTTCGCTTTCATCGAACACATTACCCAATCACTCTTCGATTGGCTAACTCTTTAAATAACCTTCAAATCTTTAATATATCAGTTTCCCGCTTTAAAAACCATATTCTACACCTAGCCATCTAACACTCTCTGCTTGTGTTGTTGTATTGTGTCGTGTTACCTGCCTGTAAGAATTATATTAGTTCATAATGTTATACATTTTAATTTTCTCTTAAATAATCTACTTGTTATCTTACTTCGGAATTGTATTATTCTTATAATTTACTTTTAATCCACTGAATGTCATCAAGTACTACAAAGCACTGTACTATTTATATATAAAATGAGCTTGCCCTTGTGTGTATAAACAAATAAATATGTTTGACTCGTGATATTTCTCAAACAACTAACGCCATCTCTAGGTCAGACCAGATACTTCTGGGATCACCCTGGTATTATAATTTGAAAGTCTGATACTTTTACAATTTTGTTGTTTGAAGATGCTAAATATGTTATTGAAAAACATAATTTTTTCTTTCTCATAGTTTCGTTAATCTTTATATCTTTTGAGATGTACTTTGTCTATGAGTTTTTCAATCTTATGTTTTGAAAATGACTGCTTTTGTGTCATTTTTCGAACTAATAAACCATCAGGTTTTTAAGTCTTCGAAACATTCATCTATTGAAAGTTTTGATTATTACTCACATCTAATTATATATGAAAAACATACTTTCATACCACTTTGATTTAGAAAATGCAAAGTAGAAAATGCTACAGAAGGATTCAGTGAATAGTATGATGTATTTAATAACATACTGCTCACATCTATAATTATTTCTCATGTATTCTAAACGTTCTTTCTCATTTTGCACCAATAATAATAATCTATTTACTTGTACAAAAGAAAAAACATTTCTCTATATACTAACAAGGAAGAAGACGAAGTGAAATTACATGCAAATGAATTGGTGAAAAAAAAACACTGGCAATTTTCATTATTGATAAATATAGTTTAAATAAACTAAACTTTAGGACCAATAAGCCGTATATTGTTTAGAAAAATGACCATTGATATTTTCCGATTCCGGAGAGGGAGCCAGCTACCAAGCCCAAGGCAGCAGGCGCGCAAAAGAGGGTTACAAATAAGGAAGCAGGCGCACGTGTTAATAAAAATAAATACTTTTTTCAAATGAAGAAATGCATGTAAAGTGAGTTCGAATTATATGAAGGAGGTTAGGTACAGCGCCATCTGCCCACCAATAGATCAAGCAATAATGTCCATATATCAAGGAGGTTATATACAGCGCCATCTGCCCGCGTATAGATCAAGCCGTAATGTCGATAATTCTGTCAAATACAGATCCCGATATAGAATGAAAAGGAGAGTTACAAATAAACTTAAATAAACATATAAAGCGTGTAAAAAAAGGATTTCAATCTAGATTTGAAAAGATTTATATTAGAGGCCACTTCTGCTACTGCAACAATATAAACTTTTTCAGTATAGTAGTTCTAGCTTAACCCTTTCACTAAAGCTGATTATTCAGCAGTTTTGTTGTGTTTTTGTTTATGGCTTAGAAACAAGCAGTTGGATTTATTTAGTTTATTTGATGAATTGCTATTTCCTTTTTGTGACTCCTCTCACTCTAACATATTCAGCCTTCCAGCTAATATTGTTTTTTTATCTTTTTTAATCATTCATTTGTGGCGGGAAAAAAGTTACAGCAACTTTTAGAAAATGCACATTTTCAAAAAACATGCTCTAACTCGAAAGGATTATAGATATCGATATGCAGTTTTCACCAATAAGTTTGTCCTAAAATTTGACCCCCTGACACAGCCATCAGTTTTCATCTATCTAGTTTGAAAACAAAAGGAATGCAGTCGACAATCGCCGGCTAAATTCAAGTTGAGTACCGAAACAACTAGAGAAATCTAGAACGGTCATTACCGATATATAAGGCCCGCTTCTCGTATAGAGATGGCAGTTGAGTTTAGAAGAGAAGAAGAAGCGTTAGTTGCTAAGTGTTGAATATAAATTAGTTTGTGATAGTGAAATATTATTTGAAATAAATTTGTTTAAGACAGTTATTTCTTTAAATCGTTACAATATTGTTATGCAACATGTCCGTCATTTGCTCACAAAACTAAGTTCTATCAATATCGTCTTCCATGAGCTCCTAAGTAGGTATTTTTATGTAGGGATGCATTTTATTTTCTTTAGATTGTTTACTATCGATGTATGGCTAACATTGAATGTAGTGGATGCATGTCTACTCGATATATGTGGGTTTTCCTCAAATTCAAGCATCACATCTAATTTGAGTTCATCACTCATTGCATTGGCAGCTGCTTTTTTATCTGCCCCACATGACCAAGCTCGCGAAACTGCTTCTCTATTTTGCTTATTGTTCCTTGATATATGGGCAGTAAATTAGGAAATTTCTCATGAAATAGGCGAGCTACTTCCTGTTGTGTTAGGGTTTTATCTCCGTAACCAATCATTTGTAAAACTGTTACTTCATGCATATCCGTTAATCTAACCATTTGTCAGACTTGGAGTTAACGAACTTTAAATTTAAATTAAAATACTGACAACTTATGTTGTAACATACAAAACAAGTTGACAAGGCGTAAATTTGTAACGTATCAAAACCTTTCAGCGATGAAGTTCGATCCCTGGGCTTTACCGTGCTGGTCGACATGCGAGGGTCGACGTGGTCGACCGTGAAACCTATCCTCAAGGCCTTGAACGAGCATTTTCCTTCTGGCGCAGTACACCAGGCTCTAATCGTTAAACCGGACAACTTCTGGCAGAAACAGAGGACTTCGCTCGGATCACACAAGTACAAATTCGAGGTGGGTGTAGTACAAATATTTTTGATGTTGCTGTGACCAGAGGAACTTTGACGGGTTGCTCATTCATCTGATTTTTCAGACAAATATGATTAGTATCGAAGCCTTGCCGAAGATAATTGACGGAACCCAACTGACGTCCGACCTGGAAGGTACTCTGAGCTATGACCATGCTCATTGGTTAGACACTCGACTGGCTGTGGAAGATTTTGCTTGGCAAGCTGCCGATCTGCTGGACAGGCTGGACGACTTGCAGGTATTTCGTTGTCGAGATCCTCTTTATTGTAAACTCTCTAATTCTAAATGAATGATGTTTTGTTTTTAGGAGGATCTCAACAGAAACGACTTCGCTGACGATGTAAGTGGGGCCAAGCACAAAATAGATCTGCACAATGAGATGAAAAAGAAAATTATGAAAGCTCCTGTAGAGGAAATAGATTTAATAGGTGAGCTGGGAAGTTGAATTTTTGATTTTTATGTAAACATAGAGAGCTTTTACGAAAGCTTGACTAAGGACTACAGAATGAAATTATGTTATGAATCAACCAAAATAATTGAAATGGATTCAACTGTAATTAATGAAATTTACTGGTTGAAGAGTTGTGTGAAAACTTGAAAAATAAATCAACAAATACTGCCCTGCAGTTTTCCAATTTTTTTTTTTTTTCGTCAATTAATTTGAACTGAATTATAACTGACCAGGTATTTTCTTCAATAGATTCTTGGTTGTGTATTTGCAAATGAAATTCCACATGAAATAGGTAATAGCTACAATTTTCTTGACAAAAAATATCGTGTTGAAAAATGAGTAGAATAGTGTTGATCTAAAAATATGATGTTCTTTTCTTGTCTGTATCAAAACTAATTTTTAGTATAAGTGGGCTGTTTAAAAATTTATTGAATTCAGACTTTGAACTCTGAATTTTGGTTAAATTTCTACTATGAACTTGGGATTATACTGAATTTTGACTTTGAACTAGGAACTTTATTGAATTTCAACTTTGACCTCTCGGAATTTGTTGAATTTCGACTCTGACATCGGAATTTGTGAAACTTTGACTTTGAACCCGGGATTATATTGAATTGTGACTTTTGACTAGATACTTCATTGAGTTTTGACTGTGAACTCGTCATTTTTTAGAATTTCGTCTTTGACCTTGAAATTTGTTAAATTTTGACTTTGATCTCGGACTTCCATTGAATTTCGACTTTGAACTAGGATTTTTATTGAATTTTGACTTTGAACTAGGATTTTTATTGAATTTTGACTTTGAACTTCGAATTATTTTGACTTTGACTTCGGAATTTATTAAATTTCGACTTTGACCTCCGAGTTTTTGTTATAATTCGACTTTGATCTCGGAATCTTATTGAATTTTGACTTTGATCGCCAAATTTAATTGAATATTGACTTTGGACTCGAAGTTTTTCCGAATTTCGACTTTGATCTGCGGATTTTATCGAATTTCGAATTTGAAATCGGTGTTTTATTGAATTTTGACTTTGAACTGGAGATTTTATTGAATTTCGAATTCGACCTTGGTATTTTATTGAATTTTGTCATTGGACTCCGATTTATTTTGACTTTGACTTCGGATTTGTCAAATTTCGACTTTGATCTCGGAATTTCAGTGAATTTCAACTTTGAACTCTGAGTTTTATTGAATTTTGACTTTGAACTCTGAATTATTTCGACTTTGACTTCGAAATTGGTTGTAAAATTTCTACTTTGATCTCGGAATTTCTTCGAATTTTGACTTTCCACACTCAAAATTTTATTGAATTGCGACTTTGAACCCCAAATTTTATCGAATATTGACTTTGGACTTGAAATTTTATTGTTTTTCGAATGTGAACTCGGAATTTTTTTAGAATTTCGACTTTGATCTCGAAATTTTATTGAATTTCGACTTTGACCTCGAAATTTTATTGAATTTCAATACTGATCTCGGAATTTTGTTAAATTATGACTTTGAACTCGCAATCCAGTGATTTTTATCAAAATTACTTGTTACTTTTTCATGCTTGCTAACTTAAAAAAATATTTCATTCTTATCATTGCCATAAATTTTTTTCTAATTCAAGGTCAACGACTACTCAAAAAGTCTTGCGGTCACGACACGGGCCAGGGCCGCGGCGGGGGAGGGGGCGGTGGAGGAGGGGGCAAGGAGCCCGAATCTCTGAGCAATACCGGCGGACCAGAGGTGGTAGACACCAAAAAATTAGTTTTACAAAATCTAGAGGCTGTGCATTCTTCTCAACAACACCTGCTGCAACTTTGGCACCACAAGAAACTCAAACTGGACCAGTGCTTTCAGTTGCGACTGTTTGAACAGGATTGTGAAAAGGTAACGTTATAGCCAGGAAGGCGGAGTGCAATTGAATGAGTGAACTACGTTGAAAAAAAAAGTTTCAAGTTATTTCATGTGGCGCCCAAAATTCATCATCAGCTCTATGGAAAAAAGAGGATTATACGTCAGTCAAGTGTAAACAGCACATACAAAATAAATTCAACTACATCTGAGCCTTGCAGTCAATTTGGTAAACGAACTGGAAAAAGTCTCAGGGGCCCAAATTTGGTGAATACGGAGGCCGAGGCATGCTTAAGGTGTTGTATTTGGCAAAAAATTATGAACATCCAATGTGAGCAATTATCGTTATGCAAAAGCCATGAATTGTTTCCCCACAATACCGAATGTTTTCTTTGTATTGCTTTTCACTCTCAAACATTCAGCTGTCGACGAATTTTTGAAAACTTGTGATTTATACAAGTGACTGACGTATAATTTGGTTTTTTAATTAACATAACATTTGTTCGTACTTCGCCTAGTTTGTCCAACGAGTGTCTACTTTCAGATGTTTGAATGGATATGCCACAACAGGGACGTGTTCTTGATGGGGTATGTCGAGATCGGGCACACGTACCAACTGGCCAAGCAGCTCCAAGAAGAGCACCAACACTTCACGATGAGTTCGATGAACGTCTACGTGAACATCAATCGTATCCTGTCTGTTGCGTCGCGGCTAGTGGAGGGAGGCCATTACGCTGCCCAGCACATCAGATCTGTGGCAGCGAGACTCGATCGTTCATGGAAGGTAATAATATTGATAATTATAATTGATACAGTTCATCGTATGATTTTCACTATGAAAGGGTTTTACAAAAACCGCGACATGTGTTTCGCTATGCAATACCTTTCTCAAGCTTAAAATAATAAGTTCTTCTAAATTACAACTATTTATACTCTAACATAGCCCCGAAGTGAGCGATAACACCCTCTTGTGGGTGCTGGAGGCCTATAGGGGGGCAGTAAAGGGCACAGAGAAGATTGGGGGGCATTGAAGTGGTCTAGGGGGGCGATGGCTAATTTAGAAATGTTTTTTTGCTTTTAACACAAACTTTACCGCTCCTTTACGCTTAACGCGCGTTTCCTCGTGTAACGCCATCTAGGAGTCTAGACAGTAACTATTTCCTGACCGATAGTTGTCAAACTGTACAATAGATGGCGGTAAGCTTCAATGCGAAGCGAGAAGTTTCCAGTCTCCATTCTCGAAAGTACTAGGCCCGCCCGCTGCCTCATATACTAAGTGTGGTATACTCGCTATTTTTATTTATTGTGACCGGTTTCGGTTCACTGAACCTTTCACTTGAAAATGGTTTAACAAACCGAAACCGGTCGTAACATGTTTCAACCATCATCACGTTCTTTTCTCTTGAAACTTATCACCGTTCTTAGGATTTTGCCGCCGGCTTAGATGAAAGGACGGCCGTCCTGGCTCTTTCAGTAATTTTCCATCACAAAGCCGAGCAGTACGTAGAGAATGTCCCTTCATGGAATTCGACTTCGGAGAGTGGGAGCATCCCCTCCGACATCATGATGTTGGAGAACTCCATCCACCAGCACCAGAATCTCTACGAATCGATGTGTCAGGCCTACACGGAGGTGAGTTTCGTCCTTTGTGTTTTTTAGAGTTACGAATTTAATCAGTGTTTCTGGTTTGATATTTCAAGAGTTCCCGCAAGATTTAGGCATTCTAATTGAGAAAGTCTCATCTGTAATCTCATCGGGTTTTATTTTTCCAGGTTNGTCCTGGCTACTGTACGGATTTCTGGAAGTTTCACGATTTTTGCAGATGATACCACACTTTTGTGGCATAATATAAATCAACAGAATTTATATGAAAGCATCAGTAATGCCCTCAGCGAAATTAAATAATGGTGTGATGCAAATCTGCTGTCATTCAACACTAAAAAAGCTAGTATTAATCACCTTTAAGTACATTCTACCAGAAATTCATATGGAAAGTACACTAGTGGAGGTGAGTGAGGTCTCTACAAAATTCTTGGGAATCAATATCGATGAGTGTCTGAAATTTGAGGAGCATGTAGGCATTATAAATAAGAAACCGTTCTCAGGGTGTTTTGCACTGAAAATAGTATCAAAAGAACTAGGATTTCACGAAGCAGAAAATGTTTATTGTGCCTTCCTAGACTCTCACCTAAGGTATGGCAAAGCATTTTGAGGTGTATGCAGTAAACAGCTGTTTCAGTCTGTTTTCATATTACAAAAACGTGCGGTACGGTACCTTTGTGGAGGAAAGTGGAATGATTCTTGTAAGCCACTGTTTTTAATGCATGGAATTTTAACTGTGACTTCATTGTTTATTTTTGAATCAGCATGCCTTATACACAAGAAGAAAGGTACCTTTACTTCTCCGCCTCACCACAATACTAGAAAAGCTTGCCAATTAAAGGTTCCTATCCCAACAAGTAGTCAAATCAAGAACTTAATTATATATAATGGAGTGAAAATGTATAACAAGTTACCTGAAAGTTCAACAGAATGTGTCACGCTTCTATCTTTTAGGATGAACTTTAACAAACATACTGTTTGTGTATGTGCTCATTTGTTTATATTACTACATTTGTATGTTTTCTTAACGGTTTATTAATATTTATAGCTATTTTTTTAGCCAACAAAGCGTTGAAAAAGTCCATTCGAACACGTTTTTGGTCTAACGTGAGCAAACGCGGCACCCAACCCTCGGACAGCCTTCTCAAAGCTAAATGTTGATTTAATACGCGACAAACACGTTCTTTTGACATGTTCATAACCTCTGCTATCTCTCTCACTTTAATTTAGCGGCCGTCTAGCACCATTTGGTGAACTTTGGCGATGTTTTTGTCGGTAGTTGCAGTTTTCGGACGACCCGATCGTTCATCGTCTCCCAAGCTCTCATGGCCACGCATAAATTTAGCCGCCCAAAACTTCGGTGTGGTAAATGACGGTGCAGAGTCTCCATACACGGAATCCAACTCGTCTTTGATTTGCGTAGGCGTATTGCCTTTCAAAACCAAGTATTTAATGACGGCTCGATACTCGATTTTGTCCGTTTTCATAGAAACACTCGCATCAACTCATTCAAACGACTGTGTCATAACAACTGCGCGTCCAAAACGGCTGAAACTTTGGTGAGTAACTGTCAACAAATGAACAACGAAATTCACCAGCTTTCATTGACGGGTGCTGCCATCTTCATGTTGAGATGGGAAACTTTTCACACCACACCCGTATATCAATTTGATTTGTTTTATTTTGAAGAGACGAATTTTTTTTTTTACTTTGCCGCCTTCAGGTGTATAATAGCTATCAATCGCTGCTCAATGGGCTGGACGTGATGTTGCAAGTGTGCCATAATTTGCCTACCACCGTAGAAGAGTCCCAGAAGGATCCTGATATAATTAAAAACGTACGATTTGTATTCTTCAACAGGTTTTTAGCGATTTGTGACAATGGCGTTGGGGCGAACTTTTTCCTCATCTTTCATTTTTAATTGACGATAATGAAAAGTTCACAATTTGATCCGGAATACGTGTCTTAGTTCAATTTTTTACTGGACCACAAAAAATTCAACGGAAATCATCTTTCATGATATATTTTTTTTGCGAAAAGAATTATGTATGTGTTCAAACTGGGACACACTGTATAAATGTACCAGATTTATTAAACGACTTTGAAATCGATTTTCCACATGATATTTGGGTTTCTATCGATATTTCCACTCCCAATCACGTTTTGAGTGTTATGTCCACTATTTGTTACATTTTTTATTTGTATCATACACACTCGATAAAATATCTCTCTGTATTTATATCCTGGACCCGGATGTCACACGTGTCCGCGGTTTGCCCCCCTTTTTGGAGTGCTATGTCCACTATTTGTTATATTTTTTATTTGTATCTGTTTGTGTGTATATATGCATATATGTATGTGTGTATATATGCATATCTTTATTTTTTTTCATAATTTTTATTTGAAATAGGAATTCTACCATACAAATTCACTTGAAAACAATTTAAGCATAAATAGAATACATATAAAGTACAATTTAAAAAAAAGACAATATACATTACTGACATTTCCAAAGCAATTAAAGGCGAGTATATGCACAAAACAAACAGATTTATATGAACACACACATGCAACACTTTTACATATTCATACATGAATCGAGTAGTAATTTGGTAAGTTAAAATTGTAAATTGAAAATAATTGCCTCAAATATGTTCACCTAAGATTACATATCTTTACGACAAACTAAGAACAGTTTTCCGATGAACGACATAACAATAAACATTCACTGAATAATTATGAAACACTTGAAATTTTTTTTGAAGCTATAAAGGGAAGAACTATTTTGCACTGAAGCAGGCAACTGCTTAAATTCATGTAATGTGTACATTTTCAGAATTTCTGATATTGTCGGGGAGTTCATTAAAAAGTTTGCAGCCTTGAAACTCAAAACTTCTTTGGAAAAGAGCGGTGCGTATACTTACATAAAAACGTTACAAGTATACTAAAAGTTTGTGGAAAAGGAAGGTTTATGAACCTACTGTTGAAAAAGTATACAATTTCACCACGACTAATTGTTTGTAATCACACATCGATAGAAATCCATCTTCATGAATACTCGAAAATTGTGAACTTTTTACATTCCGCCGTTTTTTTTGCATCCCCTAACATTTTCCTAATATTCACGGTGCTGGTTTTGGTAACAGGTTCATAGTACCAGTAAGAAACTCCTCTATCAATTAGACCACTTGGTTCAAGTCTGCAACCAACCTGGGACTGATAAAAAACATGTAAATATATCTTTCTTTTTCTAACACTTCTCAGCGCATTGTCTTATTTTTTTTTACAAAGAGTAGCAAGATTTTGTCTGGATCTACTGCTGCTCTATTTATCTTGTTTCCATGATTATTATTTTTTTTTTCCTTTTGAGTCGGGAGCATCTGGGAATCGATAAGAGTATTTATTTTTTCATATTCTCACAAGTCCATGATAGCTAGACTTGTAATTTATTGAAAACATTAACTTTCTTTTAGTGAAACGAAAATACAAGAGTTGTACTAATACTAATAAGTGATTTTTTTGCTGGTATCTTTTTGGCAACACTGTTTTTGACAGATCAAAATTCATGCTCGGTGAAGAAAGTGCATCGTGTACTTCTTCCAATTTATGGGCAGTTTCGTCGGCCTACTGAGGGAGATATTCGGAAGCTTGTGACTGAATTTCGAACCCAGTTTACATTATTGGACATTAAATCACCAACACGCATACGTAGAGTGAGGACCGAAGAAAATATTGCGGCTGTATCCGCCAGTGTTCGTGATGACTGTGAAATGTCGATTCGCCGCCGTTCGCAGCAATGGGGCCTCTGTTACTCCACTACGTGGAAAATTTTGCGAAGGGATTTGGGTGTAAAACCTTACAAGGTACAGCTGGTGCAAGAATTGAAGCCACACGACCTCCCACAACGTCTAACATTTTTATCAAAAATTGTGTTCGGCGACGAGGCTCATTTCTGGTTGAATGGATACGTTAACAAGCAAAATTGCCGCATTTGGAGTGAAGACCAGCCACACGCATTGCAAGAGCTACCGATGCATCCCGAAAAAGTCACTGTTTGGGGTGGATGATGGGTCGGTGGCATCATCGGACCGTACTTCTTCAATGGCCGGAACGTAACTGTGAATGGCAAGCGCTACCGTGTGATGATTGACGACTTTTTGTTGCCCAAAATGAAAGAATTGGACATGCCTGACATGTTTCAACAAGACAGTGTCACATGCCACACGGCACGCGAAACAATGGCCCAATTAACTGTCGTCTTCGGTGAACAGTTTATCTCACGTTTGGGGCCCGTCAATTGGTCGCCTAGATCGTGTGATTTAACGCCTTTGGATTATTTCTTGCGAGGTCATGTTAAGGCTCATGTCTACAGGGATAAACCAGCAACAACTGACGCTCTGGAGGCCAATATTGAAGCATTTATACGTGAAATACCGGTCGATATGTTAGAGAGAGTGTGCCAAAATTGGACCTTGCGCATGGGCCATCTAAAGCGGAGTTGCGGACCACATTTGCATGAAATCGTCTTCAAACATTAAATTATATTGATTGTTCTATCGTTTCCAATAACGATTTCGTCGATTTTTTCAAATTTTTTGATTTGTTTTGAAAATCAGGTCCTATACCTCTTAAAAAATCACCTGTTAGTACTAGCAATTTCTATCAAGTTTATAAGATTTTAGGAAATTTGTTTTTAACACAATGAATAAGACATTGCGCATAATTCGTTTAATTTGCTTAAACACTAACAGAATAGTTTACAACTTGGGAGAAAAAAAAGATCCTGAAGAATTTTCAAATAGCTGGGTAGCTGCTAAGCTATCTTTTCTCTCAGTTGCTTGTAGATTTTCCGCCAACTCCACAAAAGACATAGACGTAATTTAAAATAAAAATCAAGGATTATTTCTGCTCATCTTGTTTCATTTTATTATTCAGAGGATCTCTCAAGTGACTGATAACAAAATTCCTTTATCTTCTTTCTCTGGACATTCACCACAAACAGCTTTTTGGGTTTTTGAAGGCCTGAATATGACAAATCTTAAGTGTGACAAAGCGCTTCCCTTACAAAATTCAGTTGGTCAGAATCTGGAGCACCAGCCTTTTTTTTGCGTTTTGAAAATGCTGGTAATAAGTTATTGTTTGAGGTGCTTAGATATGATGGACTGCACGCCAAGTTCTATCAAATACCAAGGTTTTGCCACTGTTCTTGAAGCTATGTGTCTATTGCAAAAAGCAATACGAAGGAAACATCCAGTATTGTGGAAGAACAATTCATCACATCACAATATACACTTCATCACTCGTCAAGGCTTGTTCATGAAATGTTTTGGCCAAAAAGCCATCTTCTTCACAAGATTTGGTTCCTGTGAATGAAAATTCACCTTCGTTTTTGAACAGACTTCTTATACCTCTGTTTTTGAAGTAATATAGCTGGCCAGACTTCAGTCCCTAAACAAATCTGTGATTCTGAAACCGGAACAGTTTGTAACTGCCTTTTTTTTCAAAACAAGGGAAAATATTCACTTGTTGTTCCTTGTGACGTCAAGATCAAAAAATCTGGTGACTCCAGGTGGATAACTACTGAGCTTAGAGAAATTAGTAGAAGGATAACTGAGTTATCTGAGCTGAACAAAGTATATAAAAACGGTTTATATCGGAGGGAATATCAAGAATTTGAAACAATATATCAGGTTGAATTGAAACATGCTAAAAAAACTTGAAATGCTAATAGAATCTCTTCTGCTGACAATAAGGCGAAATAATCCTGGAAAATCATCAAGGAAGCTCAGAATGGTTATACTGGCAATGCCATACCTTGTCTACAAAGTGCTGAAGGTGGTGACCTTCTTTCTGATAATTTTGCTATGCGCAACCTTTTCATTGATTATTTCTCAACTCAACTGTCAGTAGTAGCATATCCAAACCGGACAAAAATATCAATTATGTCATCTGCTCATCAAAGTATTTATTTATATCCAGCAACTGAAATGGAAATTGAACAAGTTATCAAAAAAGTTTGTAAGAAAAAATCGCCCAGTATTGATGAAATTCCTGGACATGTTATTAAAAAGGTTGCCAATGTGATTTCTGAGCCTTTGACTCATATGATTAACTCCACTTTCACAGAGGGGAGGTTTCCTGATATCCTGAAAATGTCAAAGATTTCGCCTGTATACAAAAATAAGGGCTCTCGATCTGACTATGCATCTGACTTACACAAATTGCAGTTTTATGGTATACGTGGCTCTGAACTGAAGTCGATTAGATCTTACTTGACGTATCGTGGTCAGCTGGTCCGTATGAATGGGATGAATTCTGAAAGAAAATGTATATCAGGTGGGGTACCTCAAGGCTCTGTTTTGGGACCCCTCCTAATTTTGGTTTTTATAAATGATCTTTCGAAATTTTGTTCGAAAGCTTCCATTACTGCTATTTTTGTGGACGATACTAACATCTTCCTAAGTAATTGTCAAAGCTAATGAAGTAACTGATCACATTTCTGAGTGGTGTTCTATACATGGCCTGCTGCTAAACTCTGCTAAGTCTCAAATGCTCAACTTTGTTACTAAAAATATAATTAATAAAAGCTATTTGGTTAGATTAAATAATGAAACTTTACATCAAGTTAATTGTAGTAAATTCTTAGTAAACATATATATTTATTTCTTTGGTTAAAACAAACAGTTTCTCTTGATGTTCTCAAGCTTTTATACCACAGTTCAATTCAGTCAGTAATTTCCTATGGTCTTGAACAGTGGGGCTTATCAGCTACAGCTGATGAAGTTTTTGTTACTCAGAATTCAGGATCAGAAATCAGAAAGGCAAATCCTTCCCTCTGGGTGTCTAGGAAACTTCATATCAAAAAGCCCTACAAAAAATCCGCAGCAAAAGCTAGTCTATGTTTTTTGTGTCAGTTGGAGAAAAACCGGTTGTGGTAGTTTTTGTTATTGCTAGTTATGTGAAGGAAATTTATTAACCAAGTTTTTATGTGTAGGGAGAGGGAGCTAATTTTGAAAACAGGCCTACGGGAAACCCCGCCGCGGATTACAGCGAAGGAGCTAGTCACGTTTTAGCAGTTATACACCAAATCTTGAACCACCATCGAGCTCTAGAACAAAAATGGCACGCAAAAAAAATCAAACTGCACCAAAGACTAGCGTTGAGATTGTTTCAGGAGGATGTTAAACAGGTAATGACATTTCTACAATGAGTTGTTTCTATTTTTGTTGTCTTTTCAGAACTTACAACTTCTTTGAAACGATTTCCTTTGTGTTGTTTCTACTGTATTATTTACAGGTTATGACAAACACTGAATATTGTTCATTTACAGAAAAAATAATTGTTTTAAACTCGTCGCCAATGCACTGGGACGAATCAGCGGGGTAGAAGACCCATCTCTTTATTTCCCAAATACAGTTTTACAATATAATTCTTTACATTCGTAACAATTGAAACTTAATTCCTAATTACAATAATGGTAACTTGAATATATCAAAAATAAATAATGATAAAACAATTCTTCTAATCAGCCACGATCCAAATCAAACGAATCTAATTTTGTCCCAACCCATATTCCCCATTTTCTTCACAATGTGATCTCATATGCCGGATTCACATACAATTTCCCAGACTCGTGTACAGCCCTGACCAGGTTAACAGTCACGTACCCCAGAAACGACCTTTCCCAGTTTCTTCTGTGCGCTGGTAACCTGCCCAAATCATTCCCTTTCATCCCTCACCACGCTGTCTGCCCATTCATTTGCAAATCGTATCCATTCATTCCTTTTCCCGTTTGCATCCCTTAGACTCGTTTCGCAATTCACCCTCTCCGTTGTTTCCTTCCACTCTCGCTATCCAATTCTGTCCCCTATCATACATCTATCAATCACATGCTCTGCCGTTTTCGGCTCCCCATACTCACACGGGCAAGAAACCTCCGGGCCTAGGTTAAATCGCGCCAGTTATCCCGGAAAATTCCCATGCCCCGTGAGGAGCTGGATCGCCTCTCGCGACAGATTCAATGATTCACTCCCGACTGCTCTACAGAATCTGTAGAACAGTCGCCCAGTCGCCACCCTCTCCCATTCCCTTTGCCATTCCCTCTTGATACTCTCTTTTATGCGCTTTCTCTCATCCAATTTATTATGTATTTGTCTCGCGTGTAGCGTGACCTGTTCTTCGTTCAAGCCCATATGGACCTCTTCATGAGCCTTCACGTTTCCCATATTGCCGGCTACGTGTCCCCTCCTCCATATGATTTGGGTACGCACTCCGCTTTCTCTCCTTTCCTCAATCATCCTCTGTATCCTTGCTATCCTTTTATTCACCACTCTTTCTGCTTTCACTCGTTCTACAGCCATAGCAGTCACTCACAATCTTCAAATTCTCCTCCATACTCCACATGCCAATCAGCTGCTCTATCGCTATGGACTCTGCTTCATTCACGCTACTTTGCCAGGTGATTCTTTCGTTCCCTGTGTTCCATTCGTCCCCTCTCCTTTTATACGCCTATCCTATACCCATTCTCTCTTCCTCCACTATCGCCCCGGCGTCCACGTATACTTCACTCGCTTCCTCTCCCTCCACCTCCTCTAGCAACTCCCCTTGCAACCAGGAGAAAATTTTGTCTTCACCTTTCACTCTGTCTTCTATCTTCCTTCTCCCATTCATTCTCCATTCATGATATCTGGCCCACCCTTCTATTTGAAGTGGAGCCATTCCGGTGATGACACTGAGTGCCGCTGTTGGCGTCGTTCTGTATGCTCCACATGAAGCTAACAGAAACGGCCTCTGTGTCTCACTCAGTTGTCTTATCACCCTTCTATCACGCGCCCTTTCCCCCCAGACTTGTACTCCATACAGTGCCGCAGGTTTGGCTACCCTTTCGTATATCATCCTCACACATTCTCTCTTTAGTCCAACATTCTTCCCGGTTTTTTCCTTACCTCTTTGTGGTGGTCTATGAACAGAAGTCCTGTGTCCACCACAATTCCGAAGTATCTCACATTCGCTCTTTGTTCTATCTCTCTTCCATGCATTGTCAGTACCGGGAGTCTTACATCCTTGGCCGGACAGTCGATTTTCACTTCACATTGTTCAACCCGTGCTAGGAATCGCACGTTAAAAGGTAATACCTCGTTAATTCTCAGCTCGCGCAAGTTTCGTCGAGTATTCTAGTTCCTAGGGGGAGGCAGCTGCTCAACGCGTGTCAGGAATAGTTTTCATTTCTAGAGGTGCCACTTCTATCTTTCATTTCTTTAGGTTCTGGACTGGCTGTCAAATCACGGAGAGGTGTTCATCAGAAAGAACACAGGCATTGGCAGGAATCTTCAGAAAGCGAGAGTATACCAAAAAAGCCACGAGCATTTCGAAAATGTGGCTCAGGTAAGCAGAAGCTGTTTTTATACTACCAAAAATATAATGAATGATAATCTTTTTCTCTTAGAATACGTACACCAACGCCGATAAACTACTCGCGGCCGCCGAAGAATTGGCGCAAACGGGCGAGTGCGACCCTGACGAAATTTATTCGGTCGCTCACGAGCTGGAAGCGCACGTTTCATCGTTTGCCGCCAGAGTGGAGCAGCGTCGGAGGCGTCTCGATCTCGCCGTCCTTTTCTACACGCATGAGAAAGATCTGAGCAACTGGGTGGACGAGCTCAGGCAGGACTTGCAGGTTAGCCCAGAAATTGATAACGAATAATTAGTTTGAGTTTTTGGGGGCATTAAATGGTGTGTTCTATGAGTTTCTGATGCAGTTTCCTTCAACCCATTTGTATTTTATTTAAATAGTTTATACCTGTTTAATTACTCGCGGAGGCATTATGAATCGCGCCCTTCAGCTCTGACGAAGTGGTGTTTGTCATCGCTACGCTATGGACAACGGTCGGCATTGCCAGAAATTATCCGGGAAGATGTTCATCATTCGCGGAACGAAACTAATAAACGTATCCAATTACCGTCCTCCACCTGAATATTATTTTCCTGAATCGCGCCCTTCAGTTTTGAAGAGGTGGTGTACGTCATCGCTACAGTATCGCGGGTGTTATGGACAACGGCCGGCATTGCCAGAAATTATCCGGGAAGGTGTTCATCATTCGCGGAACAGAACTAATAAACGTATCCAATACCCGGCATCCACCTGAATTTCATTTTCCTGAATCGCGCCCTTCAGCTTTGAAAAGGTGGTGTACGTCATCGCTACAGTATCGCGGGTGCTATGGGCAACGGTAGGGATTGCCAAAAATTATCCAGGATGTTTTCATCATTCGCGGAACGAAACTAATAAACGTACCCAATTCCCGGCATCCACCTGAATATTATTTTCCTGAATCGCGCCCTTTACCTTTGAAGAGGTGGTGTACGTCATCGCTACAGTATCTCGGGTGCTATGGACAACGGCCGGCATTGCTAGAAATTATCCGGGAAGATGTTCATCATTCGCGGAACGGAACTAATAAACGTATCCAATTCCCGGCATCCACCTGAATATTATTTTCCTGAATCGGCATTCTCCTGAATATTTTCCAGCAAGAACGATATTTTTATACCAATAAATAATCGAGATACACAGTATTAAATTCACAGTATTGAAATTTATGATGGAAGTTGTCCAAAAAAGTATCTAATGAGTATATGTTTATTGAACAATTATGGCAGTGGCAACACGTTTGGAAAGAAACTTCACTAAGATTACAGGCATTCTGTGTTCTTCTACGGTTTACGATGAAAACCTACTTGTTTCCAACTCTGTAATTTTTTTTTTCTATCACAGTGTGATGAAAGCGTTGCGGAAAGCTTAGAAGCGACGGAACGACTTCTGGAACAAACCGTTCAACACCGCCAGCAAAGCCTCGACGTTTGTGCGTCCACCATAGCTCAAGGAGAAGCTCTCTTACAGGAACTAAGGTAACACCGAGACCTTCAGTATATTGCAGGCTTAACGTACCGTTCTTCTACAGATCAATAGCCGAGATGGACTCGACGGGATCCGTGTCAGCTGTCGAATCCGCCTTGGACCGTCTAGCGAAGCAAAGGAACGACCTCGAGGAACTGTGGACGGAGCGAAAGCTCCGCCTGGATCTGTGCCTCAGGCTACGGCTGTTCGAGAGGGACGCTCTCGAAGTCTCCTCCCAGCTAGAGATGTGGTCAGAAGACCTGCAGCACTGCGAGCTCACGAGGGATATCTCAAAGGCGGAGCAGTTCCTCAGGTTGCACAACGAAAGCGTCGGTCAGATGCAGAACACGACGTACCAGATCTTGCAGCAGGGTCAGGAGTTGGTGCAGGTTTTCGAGAGCTCGGGGATCGTTATAATGGCGGATGGGCAGTACAACGCTCAGACGAGGGTAAGTGATGTTTATGCAGTCGACGGTCTTGGGAGCGAGTGACATATGACAACTGAAGCTTCGTGGGCTGGTGCACTCTTCATGAAGTCTTTGCCAAGTGGCTCTTGAACTCTCTATTTATTTTAGGTCCAAGTTCTGCTGGAGTTTCTCCACGATAGAGAGATTGACTTGGAGGAACTGATCGAAATGAAACGCCTAAAGCTCGAGCAGTGCATTCAGCTGGGGCAGTTTCAGAACGACGCCAACCAGGTCATCAGCTGGATTAGGAACGGCGAATCGATGCTCATGGCGAATTTCACCATTCCGAATAGTTTGGCTGACGCAGAGGTGCTCAAGAAGGAGCACGAGCAGTTCCAGGTGGCGATAGAGAAGACACACACTTCTGCTGTTCAGGTAAAGAGGGTTGTACTAGTACAGAATGACTTTGGCGTTGATTTTTCCATAGAACAACTACTTGGTATTGGACATGTAAATTCATACTTGATATAATTAGTTTTTGGAGTTGAAATGTCAAGGTTTTGCTCACTATTTTTTTCGATTACCATGGCGTAGTGTATCAAGAGTATCCGAGGAGTGAGTTCTGCGTCAATCTCATAGATGGCGTTTCAGTAGGGGGGGTATCTTTGACCTCACTTTCTCTGGCTTGTTCTTTAAGGACAGTTGAGCCCAGAAACGCATTTGTGGTTCTCCTAGCGCCACTGAGGAGGCCTACGGCGGGTCGAAATAGCGCTATCTGGTGTTGAATCACGAATGGGTTGTGTTCACAACCAATTGTGATACGTCTTCAGTTGGCCAATTTGGACGACTCATGTTTGCAATAAACGGAAATGTATGTTCTGTCTCCGTATATCATTTGCAGAAGAAAAGGATGCCACATAAAAGTATTAATTTCATCGTGTATTTTGTTGATGACGGATTTGTAATGATTTGTTGCCTCAAGTGTAGGGCCTTTCCGTTCCCCCTGTTTACTTCAACTTTTTTCACTTCTCCTCCCTCTAGGTTTTTAGTTTCACCCATTGTTTAGGCATCACCTTACTTATACCTCACTATTTATAGACTGGGAGCCCGTGACAGAAATTTCGACCTCATTTTTTACCGTCTGCCTTTTTTAGAGGATATATTTACAGCCACAAGCAACAGTATTATGCGTTGAATGAATTTTTTCCCATGTTACACATGCTTAAACATCAACTCTTGTTTGCATAAAAAAGTTTCTTTGACCACCATTTTACCGTCTACCATTCAAGCGACCGGAAGGCTAGGTTACGCAACCCACAAAAAATAATGAGTTTTTTGCATGAATTTTTTATTTAACCACAAAATTTTTAACTAAAATCAATTTTCTACCGTCTGCCAAGCACAGCGTAGACTAACAGTAGCATGAAATGAACGAATTTTGATAAGGCAGACGGTTTGTAGGTGTATTAATAATTTATACGCATTAGTTAATTTTTTTTACAGTGTCTCTGAACCATTTTTACTGTCTGCCTCTTGATTGTAATAAAGTCCCATAATTAAAATGTCCTGCAACAACTGTTGGCAGACAAATTGGCAATGTTTTAAGTGTAGGCAGACGCGAATGAACTTGCAAAAAAATTAATAACCATTTTTTTGGACAAATAAAAAATTCATGCTTTAGCTAGAACACCATGTAACCGTCTGCCAATTATTTTTTATGGGTTGTGTAACCTAGCCTTCCGGTTGCATGAATGGCAGACGTTAAACTGTTGGTCAAAGAAGCTTTTTTTTATGCAAACTAGAGTTAATGTTTAAGCATGTGTAACATGGGGAAAAAAATCGTTTAACGCATAATACTGTTGCTTGAGGCTGTAAATATGTCCTCTGAAAAAGACAGATGGTAAAAAATGCGGTCAAAATTTCTGTCACTGGCTCCCGGTCTTTTATACAGACGGGGTATTTCAAAATTCAATGTATCCGCTGCAACAGGTCAAGCACCGTGCGGACTCTCTGATCAACGGCAACCACTACGACCCGCAGAGCATCAAAGACATCTCCGAGGAGGTGACCAAGAGATGGCAGCAGCTGGTGACGTGCGCGGAGGAGCGCCACAAACTAGTCACGGCCAGCTTGAACTTTTACAAGACGGCCGAGCAGGTGTGCTCCGTGTTGGACAGTCTCGAAAGGGAGTACCGCAGGGACGAGGACTGGTGCTCGACGGGCCAGCCGAACAACGACAAGACTACGGCCATCTCGCAACTCATCAACAAGCATCAGGAGCAGAAGGAGGCGTTCTTGAAGGCGTGCACGTTGGCCAGGAGGACGGCGGAGACTTTCTTGAAGTATACGACGAGGAGTTTGCAGTTTTATAACTATCCGAAGACGAGCGGGAACCATGAGGCTAGGGTGAAAGGTTAGTGGTAGTTTTAATCGAGAACGGATCCGACGTAATCAAAAAATGCAAAGAATATTTCCTTGAGAACGAGAGATCGGGTTGGACGATAGCAAGTGAAAATCGAGCGTTCAGCATGGGGCTTGAACTACCGACTCTCACATCGGCCGATTGACTGAGTGGAGTGAACAAAGCACCCACGTCGAACGGCCTGGCTACCGATCGACCAATATATCTCAAGTAATTTGATTTTCAAAACAACACAAAAAATTTGAAAAAATTGATGAAATCTTTATTGAAATCGATAGAACGATCAATATAATTTGATGTTTGAAGATGATTTCATGCAAATGGTTTCCGCGGCTCCGCTTTAGATGGCCCATGCGCAAGGTCCAGTTTTGGCACACTCTCTCTTACATATCGACCGGTATTTCACGTATAAATGTTTCAATATTGGCTTCCAGAGCGTCAGTCGTTGCTGATTTATCCCTGTAGACATGAGCCTCAACATGACCCCACAAGAAATAATCCAAAGGCGTTAAATCACACGATCTAGGCGGCAAATTGACGGGCCCCAAACGTGAGATAAATTGTTCACCGAAGGCGGCTCTTAATTGGGCCATTGTTTCGCGTGATGCCGTGTGACATCATGCCACACGGCACGCGACACACGATGTAGTAGATTACAGCCGGTTCTGGGCCTCCCCCCATCACTATGACGTATTAATTGCTTTTTTTTGTTGTTGTTTAGTAATATCAAGGCGATGTGACCTTGAAGCGTCTGGTACATGGATCGTTCAGAATTTTTTTCATATGAGATTTTGTGTGTGTGTGTGTGACATAGTGACGTAGTTACATTTGATTGGTGTGTGTGTGAGAATGCATGGTACAGGGTTTCATCATGTGCTTGTCTATGTACAAATATACGTCTACATACTTCGAAGATCCTCCAAGTAATGAATGTTCCATCGGTGTGAGCCCACCAAGTTAGTAGTGGTGTGACGTCACAGCAGCAGCCGTTCAACGGTAAAAGAGCAAGATGTTCACTCCACGACGTGGGGCTGAGTAATGCGTAATCATCGGTGTGCCCTCACCTCTCTCGATGCGATGAAGACTGTGACGTAACGCATCGCTCTAGCCTCGATATCGATGGTGACACGCAGGCAGCCGAGGACTGTCTGCCTAACGACAGCCCTCTACGAGAGTGCAACGACCACTGCCTGTTCGTATCGATATCTGTTATCGCATCCAGCTGGGAGGTGGGGTTGGTGCATGTAGCTGAGAGGTGGGGTGGGCTATGACGTCTTGACGGACCCGATCAGACTGTATTTAAGAAGCGGACGAGTGTTGGTTATGTCAGTTTACATCAAGCGATTTAGTGAGAACGTATCATATAAAATGTATTCCTGTGACTGTGGTGAATCTTTCACTCGTAATGATAATCTTCGCGACACACGAAGACGGTGCCACATGCCACGTATCCATTCAACCAGAAATGAGTCTCGTCGCTGAACGCAATTTTTCGATAAAAATGTGGATCTTCCTCCAACTTTGCCAGCGCCCATTCACCAAATGTTAGACGTTGTGGGAGATCGTGTGGCTTCAATTCTTGCACCAGCTGTATCTTATAAGTTTATACACCGAAATCCTCTAGCAAAATTTTCCACGTAGTGGAGAAACAGAGGCCTAATTGCTGCGAACGGTGGCGAATCGACATTTCACGGTCATCGCGAACACTGGCGGATACAGCCGCAATAATTTCTTCGGTCTTCACTCTACGTATGCGTGTTGGTGGTTTAATGTCCAATAATTTGCAAGCGTTGTTCATTCGTAAGTCGATTCATGGTTAAATTAGAGACCAAACTGAACAAGTTTGACAATGACACAAGACACGATTCACGCGTGATCTGTCAAAAACAGTGTGGCTAAAAAGATACCAGCAAAAAAACTCATCGGGATTGTTCCATTCAAAATGAATAAATTGATTTATTGATTGATATAACCGGTTTGGAAGATTTATGTTTTCAATTTTAATATGATTCATTGAAAAAAAAACTCGAGGTTCATTCATTGTTGTGATGATCAGAGTTCACGCAGTTTTCATTCAACATTTCCCTTCCGATGTCAGTTATAATCGAAGGAAAATCGTAGGTATTCTGGAGAAGCTGCTGAGCCAGGAGAACATGGTGCTGGAGCACTGGACGCAACGCAAGAAACGACTGGATCAGTGCCAGCAGTTCGTTCTGTTCGAGAGATCTGCCAAACAGGCCATCGAGTGGATTCACGACACTGGTAAGTACAGGATCGTCGCCAGCTTCACGTTTCCTTTTTACCGTACTATTTTCCAAAGGGGAATGCTATCTGACTACCCATGCGACGAACTTGGGCAACAGCATCGAAGAGACGGAGAGCCTGCTGCGTGAGCACAACGAATTCAAAGGCACTGCCAAAGAGACCAAAGAACGTGTGAAACTGCTCATCCAGCTGGCAGACAGTTTGGTGGAAAAGGGGCATGCGCACGCTTGTTCGATCAAGCAATGGGTGGCTGCTGTGGATAACAGGTGGGGCAATGAATTTATCGATATTTCAAACTTGAGTTAGCCATTTTTTATTGGTCAATCACTCCAGTGACGTAATTCCACTATTAGGATCAATAAACTTCCCAAAGCTCTTCAAGTTGTAGTGAAGCAGAAAAAGTACTTTCTGTTCTCTTGTAAATTTAAAATTTCCAAGTCACCCCAGATTCTATATTATGTGCCCTTAGAAATTTTGGGGTTTCGAAAAAATTTACTAACAGAACAAACCTTTTTTGTCAGCACTATGCTTCAATCTCGACTAAATTTCAGGGCATCACTAGATTTCACTCGTGTGAATACCTCACATTTTAAATCAAAGGGGGTATATTTAGGAGAGATATCTTTTTGGCTTTCTACTTCAACATCTTTATACAAAAATAATTGAGAAACGGCAATATAATTTCAGTAACAGGGATAATTTCAATAGGAAGGAAGTGACAATTAACATTAGTAAAATCTGGCTACCTGTCCTTAATTGTACACAAATGAGGTCATTCCACGAAGAACTGGTCAAGGAAGAGCACAAAATTTCTATCACTAAATAAGTTAACAGACAGATTTAGAGACAAATCAAGAGTTGCCATCGATTGCACATTTTTTATTCAGTTCAGTCTTCCTACTAGTGAAATTACTATTCATATCCCTGTATATTGACAGAGAATTGGAACTTATGTCGCAGAATGAATCCGAAGCAATATCACACCAAAACAGTTTATCTCAGTATTTTTTCAGTTTTAAACATTGTGAACCAATCTCCACCATGTATAATTATTAATAAAAAATCTGGGATAGATCATTCGTTATATTCACATAACTCCATTTTTCTTCTAAAAATGTTTTTCTTCAAGAAGATTCCTAACAATTCAAATGTTTTCTAATTCTGAATATTCAGCAACAAATTTCCAAAATGGTGTATCTCGGTAATCACTTTATTCCATATCAATTTGCTGTGGAGCCAAAATTCAAATTTTGCAAGTGTAAATCTGACGAAAAAGTGTTTTTATACTAATTTTTTGTTGACTAGGTCAAAAAACTATTAGTCTGTTGAAAGTAAACAAAGTTTTTGTGCATTCAAATTGTTAAAATCGTTCGGTTTGAATTAAATCTTCTATAGTGTGAGGTAAGCATTTTGTCATTCCTTAGCAAAGTATCTAAAAGTTGATTGATTGTTGTAATGTGTTCCAATATTGGCCACATCTCACCATGTTTTGAAGACAATGAATTCAACATAAACAATGAATTCAATACACAAACTGCCCACACACTAGAACTGTAACACTTTTTTCGACGCGAGTGTCATCAACCATTTTAGTGTCATCCGGACATGATCTACACTGGATTCAGTCTGAACTTTCATAATAAAAAACTGATTGTCACACTTTTTCATTTTATCACCAAGGTATGAGAGGATTGTGCTTCTTACTGACTCTAGTTTTTTTCAAATATTGTATTGTCTTTATTTTCCCAAAAAAATTGAATGTTTATGGATAGGGATAAACTAAAGATTCAAATTTAACAAAATAATGACATATTGAACAAGAAAACACGAGAAATTAATATGAGCAGTCAACATTGAGTTTGAGTAAAAGGTATTGAAAACTAAAATGTGTTTATGTGTCTGTGGCGCGCGTGTACGTGGCGCGTGTGTATGTGTCTGTGGCACGTCTGTGTGTGTATGTGGCGCGCGTGCATGTGGCGCGCGTGCATGTGGCGCGTGTGTTTGTGTCGCATGTGTATGTGGAAGTGGGGCGCGCGCGCGTCTGTGTGGCGCGTGTGTGTCTGTGTGGCGTGTCTGACTGTATCTCGTGTATGTCTGAGGCTTGTGTGGCGTGTATGTGTGTGTGTGGCGTGTCTGACTGTGTCTCGTGTATGTCTGTGGCTTGTGTGGCGTTCATGTGTGTGTGTATGTATGTGTGGCGCGCGTGTTTCTGTGTGGCATGTCTGACTGTATCTCGTGTATGTCTGTGGCTTGTGTGGCGTGCATGTATGTATGTGTAACGCGCGTGTGTCTGTGTGGCATGTCTGACTGTGTCTGACTGTATCTCGTGTATGTCTGAGGCTTGTGTGGCATGTTTGTGTGTGTGTGTGTGTCTGTGTGGCGTGTGTGTGTCTGTGTGGCGTGTCTGACTGTGTCTCGTGTATGTCTGTGGCTTGTGTGGTGTGCATGTGTGTGTGTGTTGGTGTTTGTAGGGGTCTATTATCTTTAATCATAATTTGTCACAAGTTTTACTTTTCAAGGCTTTTGTCAGTTTATTCAGAAGTTTGATTATTCTTGTTTATGTATATTATGAATTGTTGAGAATAACCTCATCTTAATTCATTTAAGTTTTGAATTTTTTATATAAGTATCTGAAGCCCATTTACTCCCCATATATGTTCGAATTAAATCGTCTTATTTCCTACTTAACTTCACACCATTCTTTAATACGTGTACAATTCGGGTTCAAAATTAAAATAAATGAAGTTTTAAAAATGAACAGAGAGAAATACTACTTTGTAGGAATTGTCTGCCATTCTGTCACAAGACTGTCAATTTACACAAACTTTGTTTTTTATTCGTTTGCACGGAATGACGTCAAAGGAGTGCTTTACGGTAATAATAATAGTAAAAAGGCAGCTGTGTTCATCACATTATTTGTTAATATGTTGAATTTTGAAGGTACAAAGACTTCAGTTCCCGAATGGAACAATATAGGCAGCAGCTCGAGGAAACTCTTGGCATCCAAGAGGAAGAGAGCGAGAAGAAAGAGATGTCTTTCGACAGGAACTCTGATCCGAACCTCGAATCGAAAATGAAAGATGTCGCCGCTAAAGATCTGAAAGAATTGAACGAAGAGAAGAGGAGATCTGCTAGGAGGAAAGAGTAAGTTTTTAATCCCAATTCCTTTTTTTTTCTACTTTGAAACTGACTTGTTTATTTCTTTTAAAAAACACTGCAACCTCTTGGATTTATTGAGTTTTTCCTCTCACATGATTTCATGACACTCATTCAAAGGTCATGAATGAACTGCATCAATATTCACAAGGGTGCACATAATGTGGCCTTCCCGGTATTGATCATACATTAAAATTTTACTTCTTTTAAAACTTGAAATCAAATTGTTGAGGTCGCATATAAAGGACATTGATCAACATTTCTAATGTGTGTATATATACATGTTGTTTGTGTATATATGTTCGTGCGTGTGTATATACCCACACTCGTGGCCTGTGTGACTTTGTGGCGTGTGTCTGTCGCGTGTGTGTCTATGTGGCATGTGACTATATGGAATGTGTATCTGTGAGGCGCGCGCGTGTCTGTATGTGACGTGTGACACGTGTGTCTATATGCCGTGTATTTGTGTGGCATTGGCATGCGTGTCTATGAGGCGTGTGTCTGTGCAGAATGTCAGTCTATGTGGCGTGTGTGTTGTGGGGCAAGTCTATATGGCTCTATTTGATGTTGTGGCATGTGTGTCGATGTTATGTGCCTGTGTGGCCCATCGTGGCGCGGGCGTGTATGTGTGGCATTGCCTATTGTGGCGTGTGCCTGTATGGCTCTGACCATTGTGGTGTGTGTGGCTTGTGTATATATGGCGTCTGTGGCTCTTGGTGTTTGTGTGCGCCTATGTGGCCACTGCGGCGTGACTGTGTGTCTGAGTAGTGCGCGTGGAGTGTGTGTCTATGTGGCGCGTATGTGTGTCTTGTGTGGCGCGTATGTGTGTCTATGTAGCTCTATGTGGCGTGTATGTTTGTGTAGCGTGTGTGTGTCTATGTAGCGCACGTGTGGCTTTGTGCGCGTCTGTGTAGCTTTATGTGGTCAGTGTCCATGGAGCTCTATGTGGCATGTGTCCGTGTGGTTCTGTATGTATGTGTGGCTCTGTGACGTGTGTCTATATGGCGTGTGTGTGTGTATGGTTATATCTGGCGTGTTATGGCGCGCTCGTGTTTATTCGGCTCTATGTGGCGTGTGTATGTGTAGCTCTATGTGGCGTGTGTATGTGTGGCTCTATGTAGCGTGTGTATGTGTGGCTCTATGTGGCGTGTGTATGTGTGGCTCTATGTGGCGTGTGTACATATGGCTCTATGTAGCGTGTGTATGTGTGGCTCTATGTAGCGTGTGTATGTGTGGCTCTATGTGGCGTGTGTTGGCCCACGCGCTTATTTGGCTCTATGTGGTCGTTGTAGTATGTGTGCGTGTGTGTGTTCGGTTCCGAACAGTAGAGAATTTTTTCCTGTGAGAAATTACCAAGTCCGTTTATTTTAAGATTCATCATGGCGGAACTGCTCCAAACCGAACGGACTTACGTCAAGGATTTGGAAACCTGCATAAACTGCTTCATGCTCGAGCTGCGCGCCGGCGAATCCATTCCGAACACGCTCCAGGACAAGGAGGGGGTCATCTTCGGCAATATGGAGGAGATATACAACTTTCACAAGTCGGTGTTCATCAGAGAACTCGAAAAGTACGAGACGATGCCTGAAGACGTGGGGCATTGTTTCGTCACTTGGGCGCAGAAGTTCGACATGTACGTCCACTACTGCAAGAACAAGCCGGAGAGCAACAGTCTGCTCGTGCAGCACGGCGGTAGCTACTTCGAGGAGCTACAGAAGAAGCACAAGGTGGAACACCCGATAGCTGCGTATCTGATCAAGCCGGTGCAGAGGATAACTAAGTATCAGCTGCTGCTGAAGGATCTGCAGAGCTGCTGCCAGGAAGGACAAGGAGAGATAAAGGTGGGTGGAAGGTTGAGAATTTGGGGGACGTTGAAATCCTTTTTCACGACGTGACCCGTTCAAAACGGAAGACCATTGTAAAACAAATTTTACAACCAATCGGAATGCTTCATATTGTCTTTGTTCAGGACGGTTTGGAGGTGATGCTGAACGTGCCGAAAAAAGCGAACGACGTGATGCATTTGTCCTTGCTCGAAGGCTGCGACATCTCTTTGGATAAGCTAGGAGAAGTCGTGTTGCAGGACGCCTTCAGCGTGTGGGATCCGAAGCAGTTGATCCGTAAGGGAAGGGACAGGCACATTTTTCTGTTTGAAATGTATTTGGTGTTCACCAAAGAAGTTAAGGATTCAGCTGGCAAGGTGAAATATATATACAAGAACAAGTTGATGGTGAGTATTTTTGAAGTTTTGGGGTTTTGTGTTGAAGATTTTCGGAGCTTGAGGAGAAAAATATGTCTGTTACAGTTTTCTCAAAACGGACTTCATCAATAAAAAGCACAGTTTTTTTTCAAGTCTGATTATTTTTATGGCTATTTATCTGTTTGTGAATCGAACAATCTATCAGCTCCAACCATATATTTTAAGATGTTGTCCTGAATTGACCTTATTCACGTAAAAATGGTTTTTGATAAAATTTGGTAAGAATCTCATATATTTTTTTGGCTAATGCCGGCTAGAAGTCGAAGTCATGGATAACATTTTTTTGGTAAGGATCGTTTTTTTTTTGGTAAGGATCTTTTTTTTCGGCTAGTACCGGATAGAAGTCAGGGTCATGATAGCTTTTTTTTTTTGGTAAAATTATCACATATTTTCTGGCTACTACCGAATAGAAGTCGGAATCATAAGTAGCATTTTTTGGCTAATACCGGATGGAAGTCTGATTCATAAGTAGCATTTTTTGCCAATACTGGATGAAAGTTGGAGTCATAAGTGGTTTTTTGGCTTATACTGGATATAATTCGGGGTCATAAGCAGCGTTTTTTGGTAAGAATATCATATAATTTTTTGGCTAATACCGGATAGAAGTCAGGGTCATAAGTAGCATTTTTTTGGCTAGTACGGGATAGAAGTCGAAGTCATGGGTAGCAATTTTTTTGTAAGAAATTTTCTTCGGTTAGTACCGGATAAAAGCCGGGGTCATGATAGCTTTTTTTTGGTAAAATTATCACATATTTTTTGGCTACTACCGGATAGAAGTCGGGATCATAAGTAGCATTTTTTGGCTAACACTGGATAAAAGTTGGGGTCATAAGTGGCATTTTTTGGCTAGTACCGGATGGAAGTCCGATTCATAAGTAGCATTTTTTGATAAGAATCTCATTTTCTGCCAATACTGAATAAAAGTCGGAGTCATAAGTAGCTTTTTTGGCTTATGCTGGATAGAAGTCGGGGTCATAAGCAGCAGTTTTTTGTAAAAATATCATATAATTTTTTTGGTAATACTGGATAGTTGGGGTCAAAAGTAGTATTTTTTGGCTAGTACCGGATGGAAGTCTGATTCATAAGTAGCATTTTTTGCCAATACTGGATGAAAGTTGGAGTCATAAGTGGTTTTTTTGGCTTGAATTTCATATATATTTTTTGGCTAATACCGGATGTAATCGGGGTCATATATATAATTTTTTGGTAAGAATCTCATTTTTTTGCCAATAATGGATAGAAGTCGGGATCATAAGTAACATTTTTTTTGGCTAGTACCAGATAGAAGTCGGATTCATAGGTAGCATTTTTTTTTGGTAAGAATCTCATTTATTTTTTTGGCTAATACTGGATAGAAATCGGGGTCATAGGTAACATTATTCTGGTAAGAATCTCATATATATTTTTCGCTTGTACCGGATAGGAGTTGGGGTTATAGTTAGCATTTTTTTTCGTTAGAATCTCATCTTGATTCAATTGTGGTGGTGTTCTGATTCAAATGTTTCTCTACCTGTCTATATCTCAAAACGTGAGTATTTTCTCCTGTAAATTCCTTTTTCGATATCATCAGGCCTCTGAAATGGGCGTAACGGAACACATGGAAGGCGACGAATGCAAATTTGCTGTGTGGACTGGCCGAGCTCCTATGTCAGACTATCGCATCGTCCTTCGAGCTTCTTCCCTCGACACCAAGCAGCTGTGGGTGAAGAAACTCCGAGAGGTCATCCAGGAGACCTATTTCAGTGGGTCCCTTCCACTTTCGTTGCCCAAGAGTCCCGCCAAACTGAAGCCGCTCAGCCAAAGATCGAGCAGGTGAGGAATCTTTTCATCTCTGGTGTCTGTCTCAGGAAACTGTTAATGGTTGGTATTTGTGTTACTGTTTTCTTATTTTTCAGAGATATGGAGGAGTGTAATTCTTTGGATGAAAGTGTCGAGAATCTGGATCGTAATTCTTTGGCTTCGTTCGGATCTGGAAATACGACTGATTCTGATAAGGTGAGTGCGCATGTTTTTGTTTTACATTTTTTTAAATTTAATTTATCAAAAAAATTCTCATATTATACAGTGTGACCCATTTTTAATGGAAACGCCCC